CCTCTGGGGGAGGCAACGTTACGCGCATGTCACCCGCCCAAGCACCCCCCCCCCTTCAGCTTCACCCTTTTAACAGTACTGCTTCGCTTCTGCTCGGACGGATCCAGCACACCACGCCGCCACCGTCATCCTGCTCACCCAGCTTACCTGCGGGCTCCAGTGGGGCGCCTGCGAGCCCGACAGCGACAGCAGCCCACCCCCATTGGCGGAGGTGCAGGCGGCGGCCGCGGGAGTGGCCAGCTCGCCGCTGCCGCCGCCGCCTGCTGCAGCGCCCCCCGCCGCCACCGGGTCCAGCAGCCTCAGCAGCGCTGCCTCCAGTCGGCCCGCCGGCTCGTCTGGGGGGCCGAGCTGGCGGGAGGTGGCCGTCGCGACGCCGCAGGTCTTGGCCTGCGGGAAGACAGGGAGGTGGAGGTGGAGCTGGGTCAGGCGGGGTTGCAGGCGGGGTTTCAATGGCAGAGGGTGGGAGAGTGCGGTACCGGTAGTAAGCCAACGTTCGACTGAAAAAGGAGATGCTGCTGCCGGTTTGCTGTTGCTTGCTCCTGGGGTTGAACGCCACCGCCAGAAACGAATGGGGGTACAGTCTCCGAAGTTATACCGGTAGGGCCCTAGCCAGGAATGCGCCTCCCTGTAGGAACGCTGCCTTCCACAGCAGCAGTGCGACCACCTTGAGGACCACCTCCCACACAACAACCCAGCCAGGCAGGCTCTCCCCAGCCCGCCCCAACCTGCCTTGACGAGCAGGCCGTTGTCGTTGGACAGCAGCGCCACGCTGCGGCGCCGACCCGAGGCAGACGGCCTGGAGGACAGCTCGCTCTGCGGCGATATGGAGAGTTTGGGTGCATAAAGGTTCGGTAGGTAGAGTGCGCAGGTCAGCAACAAGGCAGATACTGCAAAATACGCAACATATGCCGACACACATGCCGGCCCCCACACACCAAAGCCGCACCCTGACACCCCCCCAACCACCCCAAAGCATTCCCGCTCCTCCACCCCACCTGCAGGTACAGGCAGCACTGAAGGATGCGGTCGTCGTTGGTGATTCGCAGGTCGCCTGGAAGGACGTGGGGTTGAAAACATTATATAAGTGAAACAACGAGTCCCAGTCCAGGGAAGGGCAGGGGGGTGAGGCGGGTGAGGCGGGAATGACACACGGCGCCGCACTGCGGCCCCCCTGTGAGACACACGCATTCGGACAGGGTTTGGTGTTACCCACGCCCTCGCCCCTACGACTAGCCCTGGCGTTCCCAACCTGACCTCCAAAGGCGCCCTGTGTCCCCCCGGTCCTCACCCACGGGGAAGGCCGACGCCGGGTGGCAGCTGGCGGCTTTGAACTGCTGCAGCGTCTGTCCGCGGAAGAAGCGGTCGTCGGAGCCCAACGCGCACTGCAGCAGCGACAGCGCCGCGCGCGCACGCACGCTGACGGGCCGCTGCTCGCCCTCGTCGTCGCCGCCGCCGCCGCTGGCACCGCCGCCGCCACTGCTCTTCTCTGCAGGATGAGTAGGATAGGGGTGAGGTCGGGCAGGTGAGAATGTATTGGGGCTGTGGGGGTTCCTTGCCAGCTGAGCACCGCTCCGCAGCCCCTCCGCAGCGTAATACCTCAACAGCCCCTTCTGTTCCCCTCCAGCCTAGCACTCAAACCTACAACCCAGCCCCAGTGCCCCCACCCCACCCCTCCCCACAACACCCTCCTGCCCTATCCCCGGGGCCACCTCCTTGCAGGCGCAGCATGCCCCAACCCTCGTCCCGACCGACCCACTCCCTCCAACTCCCTCCACAACAGACCAGTGCGGTCAACCCCAAACACACTGTCCGCCCCCACCCCCGCCCCGCCCCCGCCCCCACCTCCACCTTCCCCGCCCCCTCCTCCGCCCCACTCACTCCTGCTGTCCTTCAGGCTGTCCAGCTCCGCCAGCACCGTCCAGGGCACCACGACCACACAGCTCAGGCCGGGAGCTGCACCCGGCAGCCGGCAGCTGCCGCCAGCACCACCACCCTCCCCTGCTTCCGTACCCGCACCACCACCACCGCTACTACCACTACCGGCCCCTGCCCCTTCCAGCCCAGCTGCTGCTGCGGCGTCAGTACTGCTGCCCAGGTGGCGGCCCGCAGCAGCTGCAGCAGCAGCAGGCGAGAAGCCCCTCCGCAACGCCTGCAACAGCTTGATGCCCTCCGGCAGCAGCAACACGTTGGTGTCAACCACAATGTACAGCTGCTGCTGCTGGGCGGTAGCGGCTGCCGCTGGTAGCGGTGGCAGCGCTTGCAGCTGCTGCGTAGGCTCAGGAGCGGCAACGTCAACGTCCATGGGAGTGGGCAGCAGCAGTGCCAGGGGCTCTGCCGCCTGCAGGAGCGCGAGGGCGGCGGAGGCGGCAGCGGGGCTGGGGGGATGCTGGGGCTGCGGTAGCTGCTGCGGAGGAGGGTGATGCGGATCGATATCCATGGCTACAAGGGCTTCGATGCCCTATAGCGGTGCGGGGAGCGAGGGAAACGGGATGAAGACGGGCAAGTTATAACGACAGTGGCGGAGGAGAATGGGTGAGCGGGTGGACGAACGGAAGGAGCTATGCGGGTGAAAAAAGCCCTAATTTATCCACTCGGGTCCGTTGCCATACGCGCCCCCATGTCGTACCCACTCACCCACCTACCTCCAGAAAGACCGGCGCCTGCCGCAGCTGCCAGATCTCCAGCTGCAGCTCCTGGTCGCTCATCACCACGTCGCCCTCGTCCGGCCCCTGGGGCGCCGGCTCGTGCACCGGCCTGGTGGTGGGATGGGGCCGCGTGTGTGAGCAGTGAGAGACGCGCGTTTGAGACCCACGGTAGGCGGCTTGCTATGCAACCCCGCCACCGTTCACCAATCATGAACCGAAGCTGTACGCTAAAGCGCCCCCGAAACCCTCATTACACTGCATCCTTTCCTGCTTCTCCTTTCACTCCTCACTCCCCATCACCGCCACCACCACCTCTCCACCGCCCCTCACCAGGACATCGGCTGGTAGCTCCCCACCGCACTTGCTCCTGCCGGCGCCGCATCCCCCTCCTGCATGGGCCCCGCCCCCTGCGACTGCGCCCACAGCCCCATGTGCCGTGCCAGCAGCCACAGCGGCAGCCACAGCCGGCTGGGGGCGTGCTGAACCAGGAAGCGTTCCGGCAGCTGCCCCTTGGCTAGCCAGGACAGCAGCGAGCGGGCCGCGAAGGGACCCTCCCAGCAGCCCTGCAGCAGCGCGCAGATGCAGCCACAGCAGCCGCAGCAGCATTAAGGTGGAACCGGAGCAGCCACAGCAGCCGCAGCAACAACAACAGCACCCATTGGCATGAGAAGGAGAAGAGAGAGGTAAGGTGGGAGAGCGAGAAATGGGAAGAACGCGAAGTGGCGTCTTCGGCACCGGTCATGGGGAGTAGGGGGAGCACCGGCAACAGAGAAGGAAAGAGGTGCATTGCAGGACAGGTGTGGATGTGCCAACTGAGCCGCATGTGGCTAGCTGGAGGCAGCGTGCGCATGCGGGTGCACCTGGGTGCATGTATGTGGGTGGGGGAGGGAGGCACGACTGTACGGCAAGCCCGCTGTGCAGGTGGACCTCCGTACATTGGCCGTACGACCGACCTTAGGGCTGATGTAGTGCCAGCACTTGGCGCCGTGGTCCGTAACGGTGTGGCATTGATCTGTTGGGGGTGCGAGTAGGGTTAGGGAGGCAGCGGGGGTGCGCGAGTGGCAGCGTTGCTGGTGGATGACGGTACATGGTACAACGGATGGGGGTGCCGTGATGTGAAAACGCGCGGCGTGGCTGCACGCTGCGGGAAAGAGGAAGCAATGCACGTGTCGTATTCGTATCCGTGCGGAAAGGGAGAGGGAGGGCGGTGTGGCGCTTGCAGGCTGAGCCAGCCCATTGGCTCACCGATTTGGGTCGGTGAGGAGCAGTACAGCACGTGCGTTTATGGTGCTGACCAAGCAGGGGTTGCTTCAGTTGCTATGGGCAAACACCACAGATGTCTGCTTTTAAATCAGTTTCTGTCGTCGCATTACCCCTCAGCTGTCCGAAACCCTTCTGGCAGCCTGGCACATAGCTTCGTACCCTGTGGCGTCAAACGCAACAGGATTGCGAAGACGGCTGAGGCTTGAGCGTCCCTTGGCCCGTCTAGGAGCAGGCGCCGTCCTTTCTCAACTGAAAAATTCTTTCTGGATGGAGCCTGCGGTTACGTTTTACGGGTGTTAGATGAGGTGGGTGGCGTTGTAGGGTCTCGGGTTAAGAGGCACCAATCTATTTCGGATTGTTGCTCGGCAGCTGACATGACAAGCAGGAGATACGAATGCAAGGAGTCCTAGCTATCCCGGCTATATAATCCGTTCCTGATCAGCTATCAAGGCATAACTTGCTATCTAGCGCCGACGCATTGCCATGCTCCGCACCATGATGTTCGCTCCTCGGTCCAGCATGAGGAAGTTCTTCGCTCCAGTCACAGAATTCGCCTAATTATTGAGAAGGAAAAGGGCATATTCTGTTGCAGAAGGTCTAGGACAGACACCGTCGTTCCCGCTCATCGCGCTCCAACTTCTCGGCACGGCTTTAATACAGCGCAAGGTGACGTGCATCCACACCTTCTTGTCGGGTAGAAACAACTCTGTCTCCGTACTGAGAGCCATCGTGCAAAGTAGTGTGCCTTGCGATGCAACAAAACGAAGCAGCGACGGCTAGGCCTGCTACCACAAGGCTAAGCCTAGTATTATTTAGGCCGAACTCCTGTCAATCTTCTACGTTAATAACGCGACTTGATTTCCGAGCTCGCCTTCATTGTATTGTACGGATTTGCGGGGCCCATTGCCAAAGTGGGCATAACTCTGTAGACAACATGCACTGTAGTAAAAAAGGAACGTGGGCGAGATCTGGAGAGGCTTGGCTTGCAACCAGCGCCTTGCTGTGCCTGCCTCGTGAGGAACTGTTGCACTGCCAGTCGCACACATGTACCCGCTTCCTGTGCTTTCTAAATGTAGAATTGAAGATTACATAGCCTACTCTTCTTCATTGCCATCTTCAGGAAGTGACCCACAAACCGAGAGGACCTGCTTCCATGCAAGCTTCCACGGCTACCTGCCCCTAAACACGACGTCGCCACTAAATCCTTTCGACTGAAAGCACCATAGCTCTGCCCGCTGCGTACTTACGAAACCACCCTAGCGTTACAAAGGACAACCATGTACGGTCGCATACGACACCCATGCACCGTACAACACCTCTCCGTCAATTTCCTCCCCTAGCATGGAGGACTGCACGAGGACCTCCTCCAAAACCCCCCCGACTCGTTAGTTGGAATCCCAACATTTCCACCCTAAAGGCCGCGAACCACCACCAGCCAATGGGATTCTCGGAACGAGTAGCCTGAAGAGCACGCCCTTCACACCAGATGCCACCACAAGTTACGGCTTACTGGACAATGGAAATCGGACAACTATTACGGTATGCGCTACGGCCAACCCAAAAGGTGCATTCCTAATTCGACGCGTTGCGGCGATGCATCACTGTTCATACATTACGCCGTGCCTGTACGGCGGCGAGCTACCTTCTTATCTACCGCAGTGCAGCATCATAGGAATCTACGGCAACAACGCAACTCGCGCAGGCACTTCAAATCCAATCGACAGCCTTTCGAGTTTAAACTCCAAACTCCAAATCCACTTTCCCATGAAAGGCGGAAGGTGTCGGGTCAACAACACTTCTAGCAGAATCTTCACCCTCGCCAACAAATCCATCGTACAAAAGGGACATTGCCGCAACCTGACAGCCCCGCATTTGCGCGCGTCTGCCATCAATCCTGCACAGGAGCGCAGCGCCCCCACCATACACCACATCAGCAAACCCACTCTGTAACTCGTGGTCGATGACCACCACAGCCCAACGTCGCCCACATCCTAGAGCAGCAACGTTGTAATAAACCTAGAGCAACACGAATCGGAATCTGCTGGAACGCATCTAAGCCTGTTAGCATGCATAACCCCAGCAGTACTCATTACACCAATCAGCATGCACTACCTATCGTAACCCCCAAAAGAGCAGCATGCAAAGTTGCAAGCCTGAACCGAAGCATCACTATCCTTTCTCTGTCCTTGCTGCTATTGTTTCCCTCCAGAAGTCTACTCAAATTCAAATCCTGGGTTTCGGACAGGCGAACCAACAACCAAACCGCCACCCCCCGCTATACACATAACCCAACCACTATCCTACTTCAGCAGCGCACGATGGGACTCACGGTCCGGCCCCCATATTGCCGGCAGTGAAGCCCCGGAACGTTCCACTTATGGACAAGCATGTCATTCATAACCTTTGGCCAGGAGGACCTCCTGAAAGAGCAAAGTAGACAACGGTATCCGCCCAAGGCGGGGTTCACAAATAAGTGTTTGGTTCCTCGGAAGCAGGCCGGTACTAGCGCAAGCTAACCTCTCCCATGACAGCGTCGTAGAACGCATGGTAGCGTCCGTTGCCCCCACCAGGCAAGCTAATGCACATGCACGCATTCTCCTGACCAGGATGCCCCAGGTACGCATGTGCAGTGCAGGACCTCCGGATAGCATCGCGGAACCCTCGTACCTATCACGTGGGTAAGTGTCCCCCAATCCAAGTGCCCCCCAATCCAACAGAAACGCCCAACCTAGCATGGAGCCACCATGATTTGTTCACTGTTAGGGCAATACAATCAAAGACCAGTCATGTAGCCTGCAAGCATGCAGACATCGGTCACTGATACGCGTAACAAGCGGTTTCAGCGAGCTCAGGGCATGGTATGATTCAGCAACGTTGTCCACAAACCTTCAGCACTGACGCACAACCGACAGCTTTGACTCTTAATCCGTGTGTAATGTTGTGCACTTCAGCCAGTTCCTCATCCGCAAGTGCCGTACGACCATCTACCATAACCAGATATGCCGTACAAATAATGTTCGTTGTACAGCTCGATTTTGCACGTGCGTGATCGCCTGCCTGGTAATGCCGAGCACCAGCACACGATGCAGAGCCTGCAACGCTAATCGTAATGAGTAGGTCACGTATGCAGTTTGATTGCCCACATCTCTTCTTGCGAAGAGCTACGTTTGCAATAACCAGTCCCCCTTAATAAAGCATTGATAATTACCCCACCAATCCTTGAACGACCTCTCCAAGTAGCAACACCCTCACCGCTTTGGCCAGCCTGGGGGCGGCCCTCCCACTTAGAATGACCAATCACGTGCAGATATGCAGCCGTTGCGACCCATTTATCCTCCCCCCCCGTACCCATGGTGAAGCCTCGTCATCCACTTCGTCAGTTTCCCTTACTGGTACCCCCCGATCCCAATCATGCCTTCTTCCTTGCATGCTGCATGCATGCTCTGCGTCCCCACACATGCAAACGCAACTGTCTATAGCCAACCCCCTACAAATTCAACAACCATGCCCACTTCCAAGTCGCCCCCGAGATGTGCACTAGCGTACAGCCCAACACGCATCTAGCCCGGCATGCGGCAAGAGCTACCAACGACTACGCGTGCGGCATGCATGTGCACACAGACATGATGGCTTAATCTTCCGGCAATCAGAATGTGTTTCGACGCGCGTCCAGTTCTCTTAGCACATGAGGGCGCAAAGGGCGCCTTCTTATCCAAACCCGACAAACCCGCCGCTTCCCCGGGTTGCCCCGCTCACAGCAAGAGGCTTTCAAATGGCATGTCGTCAATCATGCTGGTCAGGCCAAGCAACCCACCGCCCCCGGTCCCGACTCCCCTCATGCCAGCATAACCGTTGGCGTTACCACCGATGCCAGTTTCAAACGCCATGCGAGGGCCCTCACAGTAGCTGCCGTTGCTGGCTAGCCCGGCTGCGTGGCTGTTGCTGCTGGTGATGTTGTAACTGCGGCTGCCGGCTACCATGCATAGACCAGCACTGGAGGTGAGGTTGCAGCGGGGGGCAGACCCTGCGCGGGGCCCCAAGTCCCCATCGCCTAGGGACTTCAACCCCAGACCATACCTCCCGTCCACCTCCCAGTGCATAGCCGCCACATCTTGAAAGGTATCTTGGACACCTGCGGCCTGGGGAGCGGCGGGGCCGAGGTACTGGCCGGCATAGCATGTTGTGACACCGCTTGCCGCTGAGCTGCCAGCTGCCAGCCAGGTGCTCCCGTGACCGTTGCCGGAAGCGCGTGCAGCCGGAAGCCCAACCGGTGGGCCTGACGACGCAGTCATGCTGCCGCCGCCGCCGCCGTCGCTGCCAGCGACTGCTGTCGCTTGGCCGTCCACTCGTTGCCGTAGGAACGCGCCCAAGTCGCGCTTGGATCGGGGCTCAGGCAGCGCTAGCTTTTCTGCAGCGTCCAGGAACCGCGGTTTTTTGTGTGTTCGCTGCAGCCATATCTGCTGCTGCAAGGATGTGAGTGCCAGCTGCTGACCCATGGGTCGTTGAAGCATGGACGTGGCTGCACAATAGGGACCAGAGCCACTAGCTGTGGCGGCGATCAGGAGTCCTGTGGCAGCCAGGACGGAGTCCAGCTCCTGTGAGACGCGTCGGAGCCAGACGGGAGCGACCCGTGGGTCTTCCAGGTTCAACCGCCGCTGTCCTTCACCTTGCGACGCGGCTTTCAGCAGGGCCGCCGCATCCCTGGCCGCCGGGGAGATGTTATGCGGCGGTAGCAAGAACGGGTTTGGTGGGCTAGCAGTGGAACCCCCAGCGTCTGCAACGGCAGCAACCGCAACCGTGGTAGCAGCGGCGGTAGCAGCACTTGTTCCCACCGACGCCAGCCCTGAATGACACGCGCTGGCTCGCCGCTGCAGCTTCGTTGCACGCACAGCCGTTGCCGCCGCCGCCGCAGCAGCAGCAGCAACCTCGGTCCGCTGCCAACCTGACGCCGCATCTCCGCTGGGCAGGGGCGACCTAAGCATCCCATGCCCGTGCTCTCCAGTGCAGGGGCTCGCTGCAGCACTGCCCACTTCTGGATGGTGCCGGGAGCCTCGGTCGGATGGGGGCGGTTGTGCGGAAGCAGGCATGCTGTCTTTTGCTGCGGCTGCCTCCCCTCCTCCGCCGGACTCTCTGCATGCCCAGTCATTGAAGCCACCGCCGTATCCAACACCGTTAGCACCACCGCCGGAACAGCCAGCAAGGCTTTCGAGCTTGACCTGCATGCCGGTCGCCGGTGGCGCCACGTCAGCAGCACCAGCGGTGGCGGTGGTGGCGGCTGCAGTTGTGAAGGGAGCTCCTCCCGCTGCCTCGTTGTTGCCTGCCCCCCGGCCTGACTGCCGTCTGCTTTGCTGGCTGTCGAAGGAAGCCCATGCAATCCACGAAACCGCGGCGTCCGGGCCGACTGCCCGCGCTTCGGAAGCATCCCGCAACTGCTCCTCTTGCTTGATCCGCTGCAGCACCACCTGCTGCTGCTGCCCCCCTTTCTCTTCCTGTTGCTGCCTCTCTTTCTGCCTTTGCTGCAGCTGCAGTTGGCGCTGCCCGGGTGCTGCTGCTGCCTCACGCTCGCGCTGCAGTTGCAGCTGCAGCTGCTCCGGGGAAGCTGCTGGGTGCACCCAGGATGCCTGGTTGGGGAGAGCGCCGGAAGCCGAGCCGACGGCGGCTAGTGTCCTGACGCCGAGCTCACCCCGCAGGTGGGGGTGCTGCGTACGTTCCTGCTGGTGCTGCGGCTGCAGCTGCAGGCCTGACGGCACGCTGCAGGCGGCGGGCGATGGGAGGTCGGTGTCCGGAGCCATGAGCCCGAAGGCGGTTGGGAAATCGCTTGGCAGGCAAACACCGCTTCCCGTGAGACGAAGGGGCGGGAGTTGGGACAGAGATTGAGCTGATGGTAGGATGGGGTTGTCCGGGTCAAGGCTGCTGGCGGCAGCAGCAGCTTGCGGTTGGGTTGTGGGTGGATTGCGGGAGTCACAGGGTGCAACTGCGAGAGAGCCGCCGGTGCTGTTTTGGATTTCAAGGGGTGTTGTCTCCTGCGTTGTGGAAGGGGGTGTTGGTGACAGGGATGAGAAGGATGGTAAGGTGGTTTGGCCGCTGTTGCTGGTAAAATGCGCTGCACTGCCCAGGTCAGTATGGGCATGGGAGCAACGATGTGGCGTAACGGAAAAGCTTTAGGTAAGGTTGGATCACCTGATCAATATCCTCCAGAGCGCATTCGTCGTCCGCGTTGCGCTGCGAAGGCTGGCCACCTCGCCGGCGCTTCATCCGGTTCGCATGTCGCTGTGTCTCAGCGCAACTCACGGCGCTTTCTCCCCAGATCTTTAATGCATTTTCGGCGTGCCATCTGCGTTAGCATTATAGGCGCATCAGACGCTGCGCGTCGCTCTTCCAGTTTTTCCCAATGAACAGGAAGGCCATGCTGCACCTGGCTATGGTTGCCATGCGATTGCCGCAATGAATGACCTTGATATGGGATGTTGTGTTAGCATATGCCGGTAAGCCATTGAGTATCAAAGTAAGTCCTGGGAGTCGCCTACTGAATGGTATATAGAACGGTGGCAGGTCCTATACAAATCCGTTTCACCTAAAACACGCACTTGTTGATAGCCTTAGAGTTTGGTCTACGTCCTTGACGTGCGAACTCGCTGTGCCTGGTTTGTAGGAAGGCGTTGTGGCCCAAGCCAAGGTGTCAACAAAGCGCGTCAATGCGGAAGATGATCCAGCAGTCCCAGCCTACCACCACTCGTTAAAGCATGCCCAGAAGCCAGTGGGGAATCGTCGAATAGGCCCTGGCGACTCCTTAGTCTCGAACCCCATCCAGGCCGCCGAGGAGGAAGAAGCGTTAATGCTATTGCATAGAACATAAACTGTAAAATGTCTAACCCGATGTATTATAGAGTTAGCGTGATACGTTGGGGGCACTAGGCTGTCTGGGATGTCTGGGAAGTCTGGGATTACCCTCCGTACTGGGGCGTTACGGAGTGTGAATTAAGTTAATGAATAAAGTTAGCGTTGACGGATATTATGCCGCCTATACATTCGCTCAGTATCTCTCAGTATGTGTTCTTGTAAACGAAGAGCCATTTATGAAGGACACCCGGCTACGGCTAAGCGGGAGGTTCCAACTCACACATACAAATGATTTCCACACGCTTTACAGACGGGATTGCAGTGCAGTTTAAAGCAATGAGGGAAAGCCATTTGTCAATAATTGACGTAAGGCTCTTGTACATCGAGCATCCAATTTGCTGCTACCGATATTTCTATTTAATCACTATTGGTTTACCCTTAGGCAAAAGTGTCGAGTTTGGGGCAAAGCGCCATTCAAGTTCGAGCTACATACCGTATATAATCGTACTGCTCTTCTACACTCTGTACCGGGTCCCAGCGGTCCATGCGCCTCCTCGCTCGTATGGGCCTTACCAGACCTAAATGTTTTAATCACTATCATCATCATGGACATCATCATCGTCCCACCCATTTTGCAAGGAATGTTAGCAAGAACCTTTCCTGGTCCCGGTCACAGATGACGAGATGAGTGGCCCAATTGTCTGCACCTAGGAAACTATGACAGTACTGAAATAAGTCTCTTTTTACCTTTTAAGCAGATGAAGGTGTATTATATATCGCATTGTTGTGTTTATAGTTGTTAACTGGCATTTATTACCGGTAAGTCGTGGTTATCTTATTAACTACTGATGATACAGCCCATGGCTTCAATGACATTTGCCTGAGAAGGAAGCCAAAGAAGTCTTGGATTTCCTGTACAGCTACCGCTATTACCTAATCTACAATACAGGACTGCCTGAGAGCGACTGAATTCCTTCCGTTGACGAGAGCGGCAGCAAACATGGCCACAAGAAGCACACAAACACTCTTACATACCACCGCACACGCCAGCGCCGAAGCCGCCACCTTCGAGGACGCGTTCCCGGTAACCACCGCCCCAGCCCACCACCCCAACCGCCAGCACCTACGGACCCACCGTAACCAAGTACCGGTATGGTGACGACCAAGTCACCATTGCACAACAGTGATAGATGCCATACTTACAACGAGGACACCACAAGTCTCATAACCTCGCTTGCTTTCGGCTTTCCTCCCGACGCAACAGCCGTTCCGGGCTCCAACCGGCCGCACGCTACCTGTAAGCGCCACCGACACGCCCAACGCCGCATGCAAGCTGGGCCCATTCCGCTGGTCAGAGTGCTTTACTCAGGCTCGCTAGGTAGGGCTCCCCAGGACCAGGGTACGGGCTGTCGTACAACATACCCGTACCCTCCTCCACCGGCTCCTTATCCCTAGGCTGCCCGTCATCGCCTTGTAGGTGGTAGCCCCTCCTCAACACCTTGTCATCGCCTTGTAGCCATTCCAACACCTTGTCATCGCCTTGTAGCCATTCCAACACCTTGTCATCGCCTTGTAGCCATTCCAATACCTTGTCATCGCCTTGTAGCCATTCCAACACCTTGTCATCGCCTTGTAGCCATTCCAACACCTTGCCATCGCCTTGTAGCCATTCCAACACCTTGTCATCGCCTTGTAGCCAGTCCAACACCTTGTCATCGCCTTGTAGCCAGTCCAACCAGGTGCGAAAGCACTCCAGCCTGTGCCTCCCTTCAGTCCCCAACCAGCAGTCCACAACCAGCAGCAACCCCGGCGTGCTTCCTCACGTAGGGTCCTCTTCTCCAGCACACCGCAACGTACACCTCCGCTGCTCGCCTCCCGAGGCAGGAAAGCCGCCTAACACCTCTTTCTCAGGAGGCGTCCTCACCTGCAGGCTGCAGCCATGCCTGCATGCACCAGGACGCACCCCCCCCCCGCTACTGCATCGGCTGCACCTCGGCGGCATCCGCACATCCACATCCGCACATCCACATGCAGCCTGCCGGATGCTACTTGCGCCGCCCACCGCCCTCACGCCCGCCTGCTTGCAACCGGTACACAAACGTCCTGGCAAACCACCACCACCACCACCACCACCGGCTGTCACAGCCCCAGTGCCTGTCACAGCCCCCACCGTCACAGCATCACCACTTCCCCTGTGTCACTCATCCTACCCAACAAGGAAACCTCGAGCACACCAGCCATTGACTCCACCCAACGTCAACACCAACCGCACAACCACCAGCAGCATTCCAAAACCCAAAACCCTTCCTCACAACCTTTATAACAACAAAGCCCTGCAAGCAACGGCACACCGCCCCCGCCTTCTCTCCTCAGTTGTAGTACAGCTCCAGACCCATGCCGTCATGGATTTCATAGTCCGACAGCGTGATGTGGTCCTTGTAGATGGTGTACCACTTTTGGATCCGGATCTTGTCGGGCCGCGTGCCGGTCTGCGCCGCCACCAGCTTCTTCAGGTCGCCGATGGTGTCGTCTTCGTTGCACTTGACGCGCACCTGGCAGCAGCAGCAGGATGGAAAGGTAGAAGAAGAAGTGGAAGCAGCAAGGGGAGGGGAATGGGGTGAAAAAATAAATATGGGGTGGGGTCGCAGAGGACGCAGAGGGTTGGTAGGGTCAGCCAAGGCGTAGTTTTGACGTAAAGGGGCGGCTAACAACAAGGGTGGGGTGGTGGCGTGGAGGACTCAGCTGAGCCGTGGTGGGTATAAAGCTGGTAGCAAGAAGCTGGATTGGGGTTATAGGGGGAGGTCCTACGTAAGAGCCAGCGCAGGCAGCACACAAGGTGGCTGCTGGCGTTGGGGGTGGTATGTAAGGGACGCAATAGGGGTCAGCAGCTTGAAAGGCAGGGCATGCAACTATGGCAAGAGGCCGGCACATGAAGGTTTGGTGTGGGAGATGCCAGGCCGAGGAGCCTGACCCGGGGGGCGTCCCAACTGGAAGCCTCCTAACCCCCGAGTAAACGCTGATACCACCGGATGACCTCATCGCAGACCCACCTTCTTTCCTAGACGGTCGTTAAGTACCACCTCAATCATGGTGCTTCGCAGCGGCCGCTGAGTCCAAGCCCACCGATTAGACACAGATATGGGCTAGCGTCAACCTCTTAGCAGTTGTTATCTAAGTCTGGTAACACGCAAGGCGTGCGCTCCTGAATTGAGTGATAAGCCTTTATGTCTGGCTCTGAAAGCAGGGCAATGGCAGCAACACGACAAACAGCAGCAGCAATCACTGCAACGTTTATTGAAACCTTCGCTGTAGTCGTCTAATAAATGTGGGGCAAGCCACAGCGGGGATCGCAAATGCGTACTTAGGTACTTTAGTGGGGGTTGGAGCCGTTGAAAATGATTGCAGCGCTCTGCTGTACTATGCTAACAATAAGTAAAACAGCGAGCGGTATAGCAACTGCCTTGCACACAAGCGCGTGTTATACTCGACACCGGTTGGTTTATGCCTACGACTCCTAAGTAGACGGATGCATGTAGGACTTGTAGCACGGTGACATAATGAAGTTGCTGCTTGAGTACGTGCAATAAGTATCGTTTCTGCGACAGCGGATAGGGAACTAGCGGCGATGGCGCTCAGTGTCTTCATGGTGGCAGAAAAGCCATCGTTGGCCCAGTCCATCGCTCAAATCCTTTCCGATGGTCGGGTAAGCAGTACACGGTGTTTGCACTTCGGAGATGCGGCGTGAAAACCCAATGCTGTCTGCACGTCCCCTTGCATCTGCATGGGGCCATGGTTTGTAGTGCAACATTGCACTTTTGGAGCCTCAACCTCATCCTTGCATAACAGTTAGACCAGGGTATTCCTTCCCCTCCTTGTCACTTTTCATCCTCCCCTTCTTCTTCCTGCTCCGCCTTGCCCTTAACTCGTTCCCTCCTTTCCTCCTCCCTCATTCCCCCCCCTCCCTCGCTCCCTTGCTCTTCCCCCTGCCCCAGATGTCCTCCCGGCGTGCCGCTCTGGATGTGCATGAGTTCGAGGGGCGCTTCAGGGGCCAGCCGGCGCGCTTCAAGATGACGTCGGTGAGCGTTAGTTGCCGAGGCCACCCTCCATTTCGTGCCTCCCCTCCATATGCCTGCCTCCCCTCTCACCCCTCCCTCCCCCTCCCTCCCCTTCCCTCTCCCTCCCCCTCCCTCCCCTCCCTCTCCCCCCCAGGTCATCGGCCACGTCTACTCGCTGGACTTCACCGCCGCCTTCAACAGCTGGGACAAGGTGGACCCCGCGCAGCTGTACGACGCACCCACCGTCAAACTGGAGGCTAACCCCAAGGTGGGGAGGCAACCACCGTACATGCACATACACACACGCTTTCAGGCACCCTCCTCGCACACGCACGCTCCGCATGGCACATGACACACCGCCAACACCCTCCCTCCCCCCCCTTCCGTACCGCTTCCTAACGATTGTTTTGCCCCAACTTGTGGGTCCCCTATGGTTCGGTATGGTCTTTAACCCCCCATCCCACCCTCCACCACTCCCTCCCCCCCCCCCGCCCAGGCCCATGTGGTGGACCACCTGCAGCGGGAGGGGCGCGGGTGCGACGTGCTGGTGCTGTGGCTGGACTGCGACAGGGAGGGGGAGAACATCTGCTTCGAGGTGGGGGGAGGAAAATATTATATAAGTGAAACAACGAGTCCCAATCCCATATCCCGACTCATGCAGTGAGCGCATTCGAAGACACTATCCTAGAAGCACGCTTACTTACCGAATCGTTGCTTACCGTAAACCGAGACGACTTGAGGAAGAAGCCGCCTAACCCTAGGAAGACATGCGGCGCGCCGCCGGTCACGAAAAGTCAAAGCAGCAAGCAAATGGGGTATACGAGTAGAGATGTTATCGAGACGGGGGAGGGGGGCTGAGGGGTGGTGGTAGAGACAGAGAGGGTGGGGCATAGGGGAGAAGGCGGGGTGGGGCTTGTAGAGCAGGGTTTGTACGGGGAATGTACACCTCTTCCTCCTCTCTTGTCTTGAACCCTAACCCGTGCCTCCTCCCTTCTCCGGCACCTCCCATGCACCTCCTCCTCCCTCCCCTCCTCCCGCTCCCCCCACCCCCAGGTTATGGACAACGTGGTGCCGCACATGTCCCGGCGGGGCGGCCAGGGGGGGCAGGGGGGGCAGGGGCAGGGGCAGGTGCTGCGGGCTCGCTTCAGCGCCATCACCGCACCCGAGATCAAGGCGGCCATGGTGGGGGCGGGGGGGCAGGGGCGGGAGGGGCGGAAGGGCCAGGGGTGGGGGGTGGGGGCAGGGGGCGGAGAATGGAGTGGGGGCGAGGGATGACCTTTTAGGGTTCCTGCTGGGAGGCTGTCAGCGGGGTAGTACGTACCACTTGGTGCTTTGAATGACCCCGTGCGCCGCCACTCACCCCTTCCCTCACTCCTAAACCTGACATGTACCGGTAAGGCCCCACATGTCGGTGCTTCTGGGCAGTGCCCATGTGTTCCTCCCTGTCTCCTAACCCAGCTCGTAGCATTTCCGCCCTTACATCCTCCCCCCCCCCTCCTCCTCTCCTCCCTCCCCCCGCCCCCCACCTCCAGGGCAACCTGGTTGCCCCCAACGAGGCGGAGGCGCGGGCGGTGGATGCGCGGCAGGAGCTGGACCTGCGGGTGGGGGTCAGCTTCACGCGCTTCCAAACGCGGTTCTTCCAGGTGGGGGGGGGGAGGCGGGGGGGGAGGGGGGAGGCAGTGGGGAGGCAGAGGGAGACAGGAAGAGGGAGGAAACGTGGAGGGTCCTGATCCAACATCGCGCCAAAGCCCCGACACCCCTTCCCCCACCCCAACCCTTCAACTCCCTCTCGTTCCCCCTCCCCCCCCCCCCCCCTCCCCTCCCCCCCCCCCCTCCCCTCCCCCCCCCCCCTCCCCTCCCCCCCCCCTTAGGGCCGCTACGGCAACCTGGACGCCTCCGTCATCAGCTACGGCCCCTGCCAGACACCCACACTCAACTTCTGTGTGGAGAGGCACCAGGTGCGGGGGGTGGGAGGAGGGGAAAAGGGGGAGTGCGGGGGATGATAGGGGGAAAATACCATGGTGCTGGGCTGCTGGCTAAGGGTGAGGGGGCGGGGAACCCCATCACCACCCGTCCGGGCCCCCTTTAGGTTCTAACACCATGATCATTACCGGTCTCTCCTCCTCCCCCGCCTCCCTCCCCCCCAGACCATCGTTTCCTTCCAGCCCGAGCCCTTCTGGTCGGTCCGCCCCCGCGCCAGCAAGGCGGGCTCCCCCCTGGAGCTGGAGTGGGACAGGGGCCGCGTGTTCGACCAGGTGGGGCCGGGGTGTTCGACCAGGGGGGGCCGGGGTGTTCGACCAGGGGGGGCCGGGGTGTTCGACCAGGGGGGGCCGGGGTGTTCGACCAGGGGGGGCCGGGGTGTTCGACCAGGGGGGGCCGGGGTGTTCGACCAGGGGGGGCCGGGGTGTTCGACCAGGGGGGGCCGGGGTGTTCGACCAGGGGGGGCCGGGGTGTTCGACCAGGGGGGGCCGGGGTGTTCGACCAGGGGGGGCCGGGGTGTTCGACCAGGGGGGGCCGGGGTGTTCGACCAGGGGGGGCCGGGGTGTTCGACCAGGGGGGGCCGGGGTGTTCGACCAGGGGGGGCCGGGGTGTTCGACCAGGGGGGGCCGGGGTGTTCGACCAGGGGGGGCCGGGGGGTGGGGGCGCCTGCTTGCTTGCTCGCTGCCGCAGCTGCTGCTGCTGCAGTTGCCTAGCCTCCCCACCCCTCCTGCTCAGTTGGAGATCTAGTGGAGACCTTTTTGGTGGGGTCCACTGATGGTCCTGTGGTGCAACCCATGGTGGAGCCTTGTCGCATGATTGTGGTACGGTATATCTCTGTGCCCCTCCTCCCAACCTCATTCCCCCCTCCCCCCCCCCAGGATGTGGGCGCCATGTACGCGGCGCTGGTTCGTGACGCCAAGCGGCTGCGGGTGGTGGATGTGGTGGAGAAGGAGGACCGCAAGCCCCGACCGCACGGACTCAACACGGTGGAGATGCTCAAGGTGGGGGGCTGGGGGGGGGAGGCAGAGGAAGCATCCACCGGCAACCAACAGTGGGAGAAGGCCTCACCATGGGGGGTTGGGGGTCTGGGATGGACTGGTACGGCGATGTATCGCCCGAATGGTACGGCCATTCGTAGCATCACGGACTGAACTGTGGTTGGAAGAAAGGGTGGTCGCACGAGATTCAAGACCTCGAGTAGAACTGTTTCTGACGTTGTGTCGTGAGGCCCCCGCTCCTCCTTGCTGGTGGCCCGCAGGTGGCTTCTGCGTCACTGGGTATGGGGCCCGCACATGCTATGCAGGTGAGCCAGGGGGGGGAGGTAAAAAATAAATGTAATGAGACACTGACGAAGCAGGGTGAGGGGGTGGGGGCGGCCTCTCGCATGGCATTGTGTGAGGCAGTGGGCGGCAGCAGAGCAGCTCCTTGCATGCCAAGCTTCCCGAGATGATGACATGTTCCCATGTTCTTGCCAGGCAGCACACAAATGAGCTATACGGCTATACCGGTATTCCGGCATGTACGTACCTTCATGTAACCGCCGGCGGCTAGCCTCTTCGGAAACCTGCCATTCACAATGCGCTTTTCCTCCTGTCCTTCATCCTCATCTCCCGCCTCTTAACCTCCTTATCCTTGTTATACACCATCATCACGCGTGTAATCCTCTGTAATCACCTCCGCAGATCGCGGAACGGCTCTACACCGCCGGCTACCTGTCCTACCCGCGCACGGAGAGCAGCGCCTACCCGCCCAACTTCGACATCAACGGTACCCTTGCGGCGCTCCGAAACCACCCAGTGTACGGCGGGTATGCGGCGGCGCTGCTGCAACAGGGCGTCAAGCACCCGCAGGTGAGCTTTCCTTTTCGTGGCAGCGCGCCACTTCCTATCCCCATCTCCTCGCCCTAACATGCGGCTTTATTTGCTTTGCTCTCTCTCTCTGACCGTCCCCCCCAGGGTTAGTTCGTCAGTTTTCCTTATTTTTACCCCCCAGGGCTACCAACACCCTGTATTGTGGCACCCTGCCGCCTCCTGTCCCCTTTGCTTTGCCCTAACCTGTGGCTTCCCCTGGCATGGCATGGTCTTTGACCCCCCCCCCTCCCCCCCCCAGGGCGGCACCGACGTGGGCGACCACCCGCCCATCACCCCCGTGCGCCCCGCTCGCGAGGAGGAGCTGGGCGGGGGGGACGCATGGCGGCTGTACGACTTCGTTGCGCGGCACTTCCTGGGCTCCGTGAGCCCGGATGCGGTGTACAGGAAGTGAGAGGAGGGGGGTGGGATGGGGGTGCTGAAGGCGGGGTGAGGTGGCGGGAGGGCTGGATGCAAGGCGGGAGGACAGCGGCCGCTCCACATGCGCCATTTGGTGAACTTGACTAATGCGCACGCTGCTGCCCACCCAACCCACTGCCCCCTCCCTCCCTCCCCGCCCGCCTTCCATCTGCTCAGTATCGGACTCAGACCTACTGTCGGCAGGAGCCACTAACCCCATTTGTCTCTTGACAAACTGCTTTCCTTTCTCCCCATTGAGTTGCCCTAACCTTTGGTTTTGGTACATCTCTGTCCCCCCTCCCACCTGCTCTCCCTCCCTCCCCCCCCCCCGCCCCCTCACCCCCCAGGACCAAGGCCACCTTCGAGGCGGGTGGAGAGGGCTTCAGTGCGGTGGGCAGTGTGGTGGTGCGACCCGGCTTCACCGCCATCATGCCCTGGAGGGTGAGGGGGGGGGAGGGGAGGGGAGGGTGAGTGGCAGCGGTGTGTCGGGGGGGGGGGAAAGAGAAGTTCCAATGTGTGTTGTGATAAAGATACAAGTTGCTAACAATCCCTGGTGGAAACAACCGTGAGTCGAGCCGAAATGGTGGTGAAAAAGTGCGAGCAAATGTGTCGGGGGGGGAGGGGGAGCAGGAGCGGAGGGGGGAGGAGCGGGGTTAGTGGTTAGCTAGGTGGGAAACCGCACAGGAGGAGAAGCAGGGGGGTGATGGCACGCGCTGGCCTCCGACTTCCCTCCCTGCACACCGGCTACCAACACCTAGAGCCCGGCGCTGTAGTGACCTCCATGTCGCCAGGTAGTACATTAACATAGCCCCTCCCTCCCTCCCTCCCCCTCCCCTCCCCCCCCAGGCCACCCAGTCCGACCCGCTCCCCCCGCTGAGCCCCGGTGAGGTGCTGCCGCTGGCGGAGGTGGAGCTGTACCAGGTGGGGTGGGGGGGAGAGGAGGGATGGGGGGGTCAAATACCATACCAAACCGTAGGAAACCGCCGGTTAGGGCAACCGCTGGTGGAGGGGGGTCAAAGAGAAACCAATAGCCGTTTTAATGGAAAGCACAAGTGGCGGCAAGGCAAGGCAACAGCGAATGGGGAAGGGGTTTTAGCACCGGAATGTAGCCGAGGGAATTCGTGAGGAGGGAAAAGAAAAAGAAGGGCCAAGTGGGTAGGGAGGTGGTGGGTAGGGTGGTGCAGTAGACCTTCCCTCCTGCATATCCCTTTTGTCGTCCTCCCCTCCTTCCCCTCCCTGTTTATCCAATCCTACCCCCCCCCCAGGGCCGCACCACTGCTTTTCCCCCATTGCTTTGCCCTAACCTGTGGTCTCTTATGGTTTGGTATGGTCTTTGACCCCCCCAGGGCCGCACCTCCCCCCCCGACTACCTCACCGAGGCCGACCTGATCGGGCTGATGGAGAAGCACGGCATCGGTACGGACGCGTCCATACCCGTGCACATCAACAACATCTGCGAGCGCAACTACGTGTCGGTGAGGGGGGGAGGGGGGAGGGGGGGGGAGGAAGAGGGGGGTTTTGCAGGCGGTGGAGGGAGGGAGGGAGTAGGATGGGAAGAGGGCGCTGTGGGGAAGCCGAGTACCCTTACTACTAACCCCCCTGCATGCGCCCTCAAGCTCGCCGTTTGCCATCAACTTTGCTACCCTATTCCCCTCCAACCTCCCCCCCTCCCTCCCCCGCTCCCCCCCTCCCCCCCCCAGATCCAGTCGGGTCGGCGGGTGGTGCCCACTGAGCTGGGCATCACCCTCATTCGGGGCTACCAGCTCATTGACCCGGAGCTGTGCAAGCCGCAGGTAGAGGGGGGAGGGGGCAGGGAGGGAGAGGGCAGGGGGAGGGAGAGGGCAGGGGGAAAAATTATATAAGTGAAACAACGAGTCCCAATCCCATATCCAGGGGAGGGCAGGGGGAGGGAGGGGAGGGAGAGGGAGGGAGAGGGAGGGAGAGGGAGGGAGAGGGAGGGAGAGGGAGGGAGAGGGAGGGAGAGGGAGGGAGAGGGAGGGAGAGGGAGGGAGAGGGAGGGAGAGGGAGGGAGAGGGAGGGAGAGGGAGGGAGAGGGAGGGAGAGGGAGGGAGAGGGAGGGAGAGGGAGGGAGAGGGAGGGAGAGGGAGGGAGAGGGAGGGAGAGGGAGGGAGAGGGAGGGAGAGGGAGGGAGAGGGAGGGAGAGGGAGGGAGAGGGAGGGAGAGGGAGGGAGAGGGAGGGAGAGGGAGGGAGAGGGAGGGAGAGGGAGGGAGAGGGAGGGAGAGGGAGGGAGAGGGAGGGAGAGGGAGGGAGAGGGAGGGAGAGGGAGGGAGAGGGAGGGAGAGGGAGGGAGAGGGAGGGGAGGGATAGGGAGAGGAGGAAGGGGCTGTCAGGAAATGTGGGGTGAAAGCCTTCGGGCCGGCCCCCAGCTACTTTATTGGGGGCATTTCGCACCAACACTACCACTCCCTCCCCCCTCCCCCCCCCTTCCTGTGGATTCCTATGGTTTGGTATGGTCTTTGACCCCCCCTTCCCCCCCTCCCTCCCCCAGGTTCGTGCGCACGTGGAGCAGCAGATCGACCTGATTGCTCGCGGGCGGGCGGGGCAGGGGGCGGTGGTGGCGCACACGCTGCAGCAGTTCAGGGCCAAGTTCCTGTTCTTCGTGGCGCAGGTGGGGGGGGGGGAGGGGGGTAAGGGGGGGGAGGTGCAAGGATGGGAGGGAGGGAGGGCTGTCCTCATGCAGGACGCACGGTGACTGGTGGTGGTGTCGCCCCGGGTCGCCCTGCTACTCGGTTTCGGCCGCTCTCCTCCACTCCACTCCACTCCGCCACTCGCCTCCCCCCTCCTCCCCCTCCACTCCCCGCTCGCCTCCTCCCCCCCTCCCTCAGATTGCGCGCATGGACAGCCTGTTCGAGGCGTCCTTCTCGCCGCTGGCAGCCAGTGGTGAGTGGGGCGGTGGTGAGGTGGGAGTGGGGGCGTGTAGGCAGGCGTCTAAGCAGGTGTGTAGACAGGTGCCTAGGTTGCGCAACACCTCGCCCACCATGCAGCTCCGAACACCCTGCAGGTCTATCATATCCATACCCCGCCCCCTCGCCCCCTCACCCCCACACCTCCTCCCCTCCCCCCCCCCAGGCAAGCCCCTGAGCAAGTGCGGCAAGTGCCGCCGCTACCTGAAACACATCTCCGCTCGCCCGCAGCGGCTGTACTGCAATACATGCGAGGAGGTGCTGGCGCTGCCGCAGGTGGGGGGGGGAGAGGGAGGGGGAGCAGGGGGAGGGGGAGAGCAGGGGGAGGGGGGGAGCAGGGGGAGGGGGGGAACACCTGGGGTGGGAAAGCGGAGTTAGGAGGGACGTTGGCTTGTGTAGGAAGCCCCTTACATTGACACAGGCATCCTCCGCCTATGCCTCTGACAGTCTACCTGTCATGCGTTAGGGTGTGCTGCTTTATCCAACCTCTCTCCCCCTCGGATTATGGCATTGGGACTCCGTTGCTTCACGTTTCGTTCATTTTGCAACCTCACTTTTCATTTACCGGTATTTCCCCCCCCCCCCCCCCTCGCCCCCGGCCCTCCCCCCCAGGGTGGCGCCATCAAGGTGTACAAGAGCCTGGTGTGTCCGCTGGACGGCTATGAGCTGCTGCTGTTCTCGCTGGCGGGGGCGGACGGCAAGACCTACCCGCTGTGCCCCTTCTGCTACAACAACCCGCCGTTCGAGGGGGCGATGAAGGTAGGAGGGAGGAGGGGGCGGGGGCGGGGCGGGGCTGTTCAGGGGCATATGGGCGGAGGATGCTTCTGCCGATGGTATTACCGGTAGTTCCGGTAAGGTCGGACTTCCGTTGCAAAAGCCAGCGTCCCTTCTACCGTAGCTCTCCTTTCCCACCCCTGGTGGTTTCCTCCTCTTCCTCCCTCCCCACGCCCCTCCCCACCCCCCTCCCCACCCAGGTTGGCGTGGAGGGTGCCGTGGGCAGCAAGCCCGGCATGCCCTGCTCCACCTGCCTGCACCCCACCTGCCCGCACTCCCTCGCATCGCACGCCGTCTTCCCCTGCCCCAACCCGGCCTGCTGCGCCACCTCCTCCTCCTCCTCCTCCGCTCCCGCCGCGTCTGCTGCTGCTGCTGCTGCTGCTGGAGGGCCCGCCAAGCCAAACAACCCCGGCACCAGTGGTAGTGGCACCACCCCCACCAGCAGCAAGGTTGGCACGGTTGTGTTGGACCCGGTGTCCGCCCCCAAGTGGCGGCTGGACTGCAACCGCTGCGACTTCCTCATGTACCTGCCACCCAACCTGCACAGCGCGAGGGTGCGGCCGCGGGACACATGCGAGGTGAGGGGCGGGGGTGGGCGGGGTGGGAGGGCGGGAGGGAGGGAGGGAGGAGGGGGAAGACGTCAAACCACCGAAAGCTGGGTAGACAGGTGTAGGTGAGGAGGTGGAGTGGAGCGGTCCTCGGTTGCTCCCCATACAGCTGCAACTCTTTACGTCCCCTTGGTTCTCCCTTCCTTCCTTCTCAACCGGCTCTAGTGGCTTGGGTCGCCGAGCTGCACGGCACCGTTTTTTGCAGTTCATCCCGTGTCCCTGCCTGCCTCTCTCCTGATACCCCCTTTTAACCATTTGCCTATCCCCATTGTTTTGCCCCAACTTGTGGTTTCCCATGGTTTTCTCTACCGTATTGCCTCTGCCCCTCCTTGCCTCCCCCAGGACTGCGGCGGGCGGCTGCTGGACCTGGACTGGAAGAAGGGCCAGCTGCCCCCCTCGCTAGCCGCGGAGGCGGAGGGCGAGGGTGGCACCCTCATCAGCGGCGTGTGTGTGCTGTGCGATGAGGAGGTGGCCAAGCTGTGTGAGGTGAAGCACGGACATGCGTTCGCGGCGCGACGCATGGGGCCGCGGGGGCGGGGGCGCGGGAGGGGGAGGCGGGGCCGGGGAGGGCGGGGACGCGGGCGGGATAAGAACTTCGATCCTAAGATGTCGTTCCGGGACTTTTGAGAGAGGAGGGGAAGGGGGTGAGGTACGGGGGGGCTGGTGTGGGGTAAAGAGGAAACAACTAAGTGGCTGAGGGATAAGGCGTCACCATGGGTTGCAACATGGGTTGCTGGTGTGGGGAGTGGCGCGAGGAGGGGCTGCTGGTGGCGGCCATATTGGAAGGTGGTTAAGCAGCAGAGGAAAGGGAGCGTGCGGCAGTCGTCTGGACGTCAATGTTAGGCACCGGTAGCCTAGTCGTGATGCCGCAGCGAAGAGCGACCCAGCACGTACTGGACAGATGGAGCTTCGTTGCAATGCGTGTTGGCTGTTGGGTGCATAAACACACGCACGAGAGGCCTGCTTTGCGTGAGAGGTCAAGATAACATTACGGTAGTACAGCGGGAGCATTCCTGTACACAAATGTACACGGCCTAACGACGCCCGTGGTTTAGGGCTGGACGGTTAGGGTCGGACGCACAGGAAGTCATACCTGTAAAGCATGTACGAAACCAATGGGACTTCCCCTCCTGCCTTGACAAGGTTCTTCGGTGTAAACCGCGGCAGGCGTTGGCAGCGAAATGTGGGTTTTACCAACAATGCTGACCTATCCGAGGAAAGCTCAATGCATGGAATGCCGGGGTGTGCTTGCGCGTTGCTTTACTAAGTCCTGGCGTTCCCTACTGGGTTTATTGCTTGCCAAAGTGCCACACGCCCGCTGCCACACGAAACACCTGATCCAATTACACGGACTCGCTATATGCGCCCAGCATGGAGCCAAAGCTCGAATGCTCGCAATGCACTGCGTTGCTGGTAATCCTCCCAATGCACGTAAGGCCCATCATCAGATATACGCATAGCAAGGACTCACGATCGTACAATCTCTGGATACTCCACAATTCCTGCCGTAAATTGGTCCTTATCGGAGACACCAGCCAGCCAACCCGTCAGACCACAGTAAGTTAAGTCCTAGCAGCTGTACGCATACAAGTGGTGTGCTCACCCCCTTTCCCACCAGGCCGCATGCCCGACACAACCATGTAGACTTGCAATGGTTAGGTCAACAAAGATACACAAATGCCACTCCAAATCATCCCGTCAGCTATCGCATACAGTCCATGTTCCATGTGTCGTACGATCCACGTCACGTAGCTCACTGCACGTGCGCATCCAGCTTCACCGACAGCACGCGCCCATGGAGGTCGTGTCCATTGAACTTCTGTAAAGGGGAAGGAGAGGGTGAAGGCATAAGACAGTTAGGGTGGTATCCGAGGAAAACTCCAGAGCCTACCGTACGTTAGGAATCCTGCGCAGACAATACAGTCCATGTTCAGTACAGGCGGAGATTCATATGCGCACGTCGCCCAGCAGGCTCCAGTAATACCGTACACGACAGCAAGGAAAGCCTCGCCAATCCAATCCTTCTGTAGGGTTGGGCATCTCTCAAAGAGGTTCTCCAAAGGATCCAAACCTACCTCGATCGCCGTGTTCGCAGCTTCCGCGTTCTGGAAAAGCACCGTGCCCCAGCCCTTGCTGCGGCCCGTCATGCGGTCCTTCTTGACGTCGCACTCCAGGATGGGCCCAGCCACCTTGACCAGGTCGCGGAGCTGCGGCGCCTCGTACGAGAACGGCAGGCCGTGCACCACAATCTGTGTTGGAGGAGGGGCAAAGGGAGCAGCGCAAATAAGGTAAGCCGTAGGAAGCCTGTAACAACCTAATTAGCACGTCGCGCATGTGCAGCCCTTAATCCATATGTCCCTAATCCCTGCTCAGCCCTGTGTAAACAATATCCTCTTAGGAGCGCAGTGTGAGTTTGGCTAGCAGATATACCGGGACAGGCCGAGAAGAACATGCGCATGCCGAGCCAGACACCCCGCATCCCGCACCTGGCACGTCTTGCGCATCTCGGGGTCAACGTTGGCCCTGCGCTGCTCGCGGTCGCCGCGGTCACCCCGCCGGTCGCCGCCGCGGGGCCCCATGCCGCGGTCGCCCATGCCGCCCATCATAGGCGGCATTCCGCCCATGGGGCCCATGCCTGGCCCCATACCCGGCCCCATGCCCTCCTGCTGGTCCTCACGCACGTGGATGGTACGGCCGTCCAGGACCTAAGAGGCGGACAGCCCCGGGACCATCACAAAAGGGCTGGAGTCAGTACTGCTGCTAGGAGTAAAAGAGGCGGCGCTGACCTGGGCTAGGCAAATCCAAGGACGAAGCTAGGTCGGCAAACACAAGAGGGCATTTGAACACCAGCCCACGCAAACAGGGAAGCCCAAGACCTGATGGAACCTACCGAGTTGTCGAGCTTCTGGATCGCCATCATCGCATCGCGCGGGTTCTCAAACTCCACAATACCGCAGCCCTTGGACCTGTTGGTCTCCTTGTCCTGTAGCAAAGAGTGAAGGGTGAGGCACATGGATCAAGAGTGGCTAATGGACCAAGAGTGGCATCCATCGCACAGCTGACACCAAGACAGTACATGGTGCATGCTAATGCAACACATTGCAACTCCGCAATCCCAAGCGCAACTCACAACAATGATCTTGCTGTAGGCGACGGGGCCGCACTGCTTGAAGTGGTCCTGCATTCACACAGCCCAGCTGGTTCGTTAGTAGCACGCAACGCAAGCATCAATTGCTCGGCATACCAGACGGATACAGCCAAGCAGTTCACAGTCGTCCAAAGCCCAGTTAAGCTTCCCCACATGAGGAACACGCTGAGGGAGCACACCTACCTTGAGTGCGCGCCACTCGGTGTCAAAGGACAGGTTGTTGACGAACAGCCGGCGGCCGGGCGGGCCGGCGGGGCCAGGTCCGCCTGGGCCCATCATTGGTGGCATCCCACCCATCATGGGGGGCATGCCGCCTCCCATCATAGGCGGCATGCCACCCATGGGGCCCATACCACCCCACTGGGGACCCTCCTGCGGAACGGGAAGAAGGTTGGCAGTACGGAACCAAGGTAAGAGTCGGCAAAAGGAGTCGGTCATTGCGTACGGGTTAAGGGAATGCCCTCAGCGGCTGCAACAAATGGGGCCGAAAATACATGTCGCGTGTAACGATAGCAGCGTACAGGCAGAGTGTTCGGGCTGGCTCCCTCTCTGTGGTCACGGCAACGTCAACCCAACTCACCATGCCGCCCATACCGCCCATTCCACCCATGCCCGCCATGCCGCCCATGCCGAGGCCCGGCAGTCCGCCCTGCGGGTTAAGGATGCGAACACTGCGTTGTAGGGCACAGGTACGCTGGGCCATTGCACCATGACAAGGGAGGCTTAAGCCAGAGCCGTGGCATCAGGTACGGTGGCTTTCCATCCCTTCCCCACATGCTAACCCAATACCCCAATGCATTAAAAACGTACCCCGAAGCCCAGGAAGTGAGACACGACGGTCACGCAAGACAGGGTTGGACGTGTGTGCCTGGGGGCAACCAAATCAACTCACCATGCCGGCCATGCCCGCAAGGCCCATCATGTTGGCGAGGGCCGCCATGCCTCCCATGCCTCCACCAGCCGCCGCATTCGCCATGCTGAGCAGCGAGGCCATGTTCGCGTTCTGAAGGGCGGCTGAGGGCTGCTGCTGCGCCTGGGGCTGTTGCTGCGGCTGCGACTGCTTCACAACATTCGCCAAACCACCCATACCGCCTCCCATGCCGCCAGCACCCATACCACCCGCGCCCATGCCAGCACCCATACCGCCAGCGCCCATGCCCGCGCCCTGCATGCCGCCGCTACCGGCACCCATGCCCGCGCCTCCTCCCATGCCGCCGCCAGCGCCCATGCCCATGCCGCCAGACATGCCGCTGCTGCCAGCGCCCATACCCGCGCCTCCCATGCCGTTGCCCGCCGCAGCCGCTGACCCTTGGAGCCCGGCAAACTGCGCCAACTGGGCCATGCCGCTCATACCGCCAGCGCCCATGCCGGGCATGCCCGTTGCACCCATCATACCACCCTGGGACGAACCTGCTTCCGGTTTTGAAAGTACGGGACACTACATCAACACAGCTACTCGGCGCTGGCGCTGGCTTAATAGAGGTAAAGGCCCCACCCATCGCCATCGACAAATTGACCAAGAAGCCACCAGGTATCACCAGGCAAAGCTTCCAGGATTTAGGAGGAAACGTCGCGGCAGGTAACCCAACAACGGCAAAAGCAAGTTGGTACCGCAGACGGCTCATCCACCTCCCTACGGCGACTTCAGGGGGGTCGTCAGTGATTAAACCGTCTCCTTAGGGACAGTGGTGATCACGAGGTTTGTTGTCCAAGGCCAACTTTAGACACCATAACCTCGTATCATCAGCAATCAGCGACCCTCTCTGCTGGCCCGTCATTACGGGCTTTCCGCAGGCCAACAGTGCGGCCATAACGAACTGCCACTGCCACGTAAGCAGACATGCGCTCGCGAAAAGCCTCTGGTCCTCGAGACGTAGCTTCTACTAGGCTCGAAGATATTGAACGATTCAGACGCCCCTCCGCTTTAAAAGCTGCCCGAAGTTAACCTCACCTGATGCGACTCTTGTGATTTCTCTCTAAGTGCAAGCGTGCCTTACACCGCAACCCCTCAGCCCTCCTCGCATCGAACCAACAAGTATGCATGCCCCGATATGTCCCGCCCTCCTGGACCCCTCAACGCAAACCGACCCATATCCGCCCCTCCCCGACCAAAACCTTGCGTGCAACCAAACAACCCTACTACTACCCAGCCGCCTCCACACATACCATAAAGGGAATTATCGTTGCCTCCCGCGCCAGAGCCTCCGTACATGCCGCCGCCCATACCGGCACCCATGCCCCCGCTGGCAAGCTTCTTGGCAGCTGAGGGCCCGTCGCCCATGCCCCCAATTGCATTGTCCTGGTCAAGACGAACGTAGATAGTCCTGCCCGCCATCTGCAGTGGGGCGGCCGTCATGGACGCCCAGACACCAACGCTTGTAACTGTGAGTCATGTGGACGCAGCCTGGAACCCAGCACAGCCTAGCAACCGTACCGGCCTCAGCCTAGCGAACTAACAGAAGGCCAACACACCTGAGTCCCGTTAAACAGCTGGATAGCGTTCTGCGCCTGCTCAGCAGTCTCAAACTCAACCACGCCGCAGCCCTGTAAAGTTGAGAAGACCGGGGGCCTCAGGTCTGTACAAAAGCTCATAGCCAAGTGCCCAGGCGTGTGAACGCGCTGCTCTAAAACGCGCAAAGCTGCACCGCTTGCACGAACATATTACATATCAAAGGAAATAATCCGCCCCAGCAGTTGCGGTGACCCACCTTTGAAGTGCCCTTTTCCTTGTCCTTCATAACACCGGCATACACAACTGCAAAAAAGGAGAGCCGTAAAGTCATAAAGCCACAAGAAACAAACGGATGGTTTTGTAAGCAAGCCAGCTAAAGCTCGAAGCAACCCGGTCAGCGCGAGATTCCACCTGTGCCTGCCGTCCTGAAATAGCGCTTCAACTCCTGCCAGTCCACGTTGAAAGGCAGACCAGCCACAAACACTTTCTTTACGCCATCTCCTGCATAACCAAGAGCGCAACGCCGTCACATTTCGGAAAAGGATGCCGGTGGACAGTGCTCGCTCCCTACCCTCATCTTCACGGCCTCGTTTCCGCATCATGCCACCAAAATCGCCCATGGCGCCTGCCATCATCATCCTGGCCTGGTTACCCTGTAAGATCCCTGTGCTGTAAGTTTGTGGTTTAAGGCCACGCTGCGAATGCGGAAACCGTCTAAGCAGGTACACACTATACAACAGTTAGCGCAATAGAGCTATGTGGTGGTATGACAGGGATGGTAACATGGTATACGCTCACATGTTGTGTTGTCGTGCAAGCACGGTATCCTGGCCGTTAGAACGAAAGCTTACAAGCTTGCTTTAGGCTTTGGTAAACAGATCAAACGCATACAGCATGGTGCTTTTGTCCTGAAAGCCCAAAATAGAGAGTGGGGGCCATGGGAACGTTCACTGCCCTTGCGTTTCTCGCCGGCCTGGCGCTAGTTCACGGAAATGTCATACGGGGTCTCAATCCTGACTTAGCAAGCTACTATTCAGGCGTTGGTGGCAGCTTTAAGTGCATATCCGGCATCGCTAAGACGATCCCCTTCGCGCGGGTGAATGATGACTACTGCGATTGCCCGGACGGGAGTGATGAGCCAGGTATGTTTTATGAGCGCCGTTAGAGCCCAGCTTAACACGTATGCGCTTGGATGGCATGCATAATTTGCACTTCCCTTATAGGCACGTCGGCCTGCCATAATGGCCGCTTCTACTGCCGGAACCTCGGCCACGAGCCGCGCTTACTAGCTTCGGCTTTTGTGGATGATGGTGTATGCGGTACGTCGGGTGCCCGCTGCTCCGTCGATTCCCGAGTCATGACGCAAGCTTAGCTATATACGCTGATTGCAGATTGTTGCGATGGTACCGATGAGCCGAAGGGCAAGTGCCAAAACACTTGCTTGCAAGCCAGCGCGGTTCATAGGGAGGCGTTGAAGAACAAGATCTCTCAGTTTGAGCAGGCTCTGGCCACGAAGGCCGAGTATGTCAGCAAGGCGAAGGCATTTAAGCAGGAACTTCAGTTGAAATCGTCAACTATTGACGACGATGTCGTTCGTCAGCAGGGTGTTGTGGACCACCTGAAAGGTACGCCACGGCGTCCAGCCCAAGCCGCTTCCCGTCCCCCTTACGCATTCCTTGGATAAGTAGTTATGCGCCAAAGCGGGTTAGGCTAGCTCAGAATTTGTTTTCTCATATCCTGGTCTCCGGCGCAGGGGAGGTGACCCGACTGGAGCAGGAGGAGGCGCAGCGTAAGGCCCATGAGGAGGCGCAGCAAGCAGCGCAGCAAGCTGAGCAGCAAGCAGCCGAGGCCCAGGCGGCACAGCAGGCGGATCAAGCCGCCACCGAGCAACTGGAGCCCGCGGCGGGCTCTGCAGTCGCTGAGGAGCGACAGCTGCAGGAGGGGATCACGCAGGAGACGCAGCCGGAGGAGCGGGTAAGCTTTCGGGGAGGCGCTGGGAAGCATCGCAAAGGTACCGGTAGGCGCCCTAGCCGCTGTGGGGTGTTGCGATGGGGTGTTCTGGTGGCACGCCACATCCCACACACGCATCGCTTTGCATGCTTTCAGGCGGGCGCCTTCCGTGGGCATCTACGCATGCGGAATGAGTGGGTGCTACCCTTGCTCGCGTCCGCGTCCTTTGTGGGGTTCTTACTGTGCGCGGCTTGCATTGCAGCAAGGTAAAAGACCTACACCGGTAGTCCGCGCGCCGAAGATGAACACAGACGTCAGCAGCAGAGCTGATCACGCACTCATGATGAGCCCAAGAAGCCGCTAGTAGCGCGCTCTCCCGTCTGTTGCTTGCATCACATGGCCCGTCTTGTTGCGGTACTAATGACACGGTGTGCGTACATGCATGCATCGCAGGAGGAGACGCCGGAGGAAAGGGGACGTCGAATCGCCTCGCAGTGGACAAACGACCCTGCGGCGGCTGCAGTACCGGTAAGTGGTGCGCACTGCTGCAGCTCTGGATGCGGTTCATTAGCATTACACTGATGCTCAGTTGCTGGGAGCGGACGGTGGGCTGCACATGTCGGTGTCACTTGGTTATGAGGATAGCCACTGCCGTGCTCCATCATGGCCACCCGTGGCGCACGAGTTGGGAAGCGTAAAGGTCTTTTCCCGTTCTGTAGCCTCTTGCCGCTCCATGGCTAACCGTCATTTTGCATGCGCGCCTGCGCCCTGCAACTTGCCCCCCCCCCACAGGGCTCGCAAGGCGATGTGAACCACGAAGAGGAGGAGGAGGGGCAGCAGGAGGAGGGGCACTACGATGGGGAGCAGCCGTCTGGGGACTACTCGCAGGGCGCTGAGCAGCCGGACGAGGGAGAGGAGTACTCGGGGCAGCAGACCTACCAGCCACCACGCCCAGGTGGGCAGGCCTGGGGTCTGAATGGGGCGTTGGGAACGCAAGGTAGACGTGGAAGGGCATGAAGCATGGGGGAGGCAGCGCGGACGGGTCTTGCACCGGGGCTAGGGCTGCTTTAGGCTGGGTGAGTGGGCGGGAGGGGTCGGCAACTTCCGAAAGGGCATGCTGGAGTGGAGAGATGGTTGGGGTCCGGCAAGGCACCTGCATGCGTACGTTGCTGTCCATGGTAGGGCGTAGCTCGTGGCCGTGAACGATGCGACTAGGGACTTGCCCTTCTACTCCTTTCGGGTGGGCCGGCTAGCGACGCTGCGCCTTTCGGGTTCCTGGGCCGGCACCTGCAGAGGGGGCGGCGGCTGCTGCGGCGGCTGAGGCTTCTGGGTCGCCTGCGGAGGCGTCGGAATGGCAGGATCTCATGTTGTTTGTTGACGCCATCAAACAGTGGGCAGTTCGATGGGTGGATACCTTTAAGAAACTATTTTCGGAGGGCATCCGTGCCGACGTGCTGGCGTACCGGGAACGCCTGCAAGCACGCCGCCGCGCGCGCATGGCCCGTGAAAGCGAGCGCCCGAAGCGGGGAGGGCGGTCTCGGCCCGCTCGCCAGTCTAGCGCTGTGACGGCCCCCGGTTCGTCTGCCACAGCCACCAGAGGTATAGCTGCCCTGTCCAACTTGATGGTGGCTGTCAACCGCACTCGCGCACTGGAGCATGCTTGTTTCGCTGACCTTTACGGACTTGCGGTGTTCATAATGCATCCAGTTTGCCTAAGCCTTCGCCCCCTCCCTGGTGTCATGTGCCCGTGGCCGCAGACGCGACGACGCCGCTTGGCGAGGTCAGGGCGCGTCTGTACGACGCTGAGCGGCTTTTGGAGCGGCTGCAGAAGGACAAGCAGGACATCCAAACCTACCTCCGCGGCAACCTGGACTTCGGTCCCGACGACATCTTCCTCTCCTTTGCGGACAAGTGCTTCACCTCCTACCAGACCCGCTGGAACTACGAGGCATGCTTCTTCAAAAACGCCGTACAGCGGGAGGGCTACAGCAACAGCGTCACCGTGGGCCGGTGGTACGGCTTCGCGCCCGATTACAAGACCATGTACTTTACGGGCGGTGACGAGTGCTGGAATGTGGGTCCTCGCAGCCTGACCGTGACGATGTCGTGTGGCATGGAGAACAAGCTGTCAGACGGCGAGGAGCCGGGGACTTGCAGGTACGCTGCCAAGTTTACAAGCCCTGCGCTGTGCACGGATGCCGAGGTTGAGGAGTTGCGGCAGCAGCTGCGCAACCTGGAGGCGTTTGAGCAGGAGGTGCGGGCGCAGATTGCCAAGGACGAGTTGTGAGACGCTGGGTGCACGTGGAGGTAGTGCATAAGATTAGTAGGGATTTAGGGCTGAGCTGGCTTAGGGGGAAGGTGTAGGTTTACGGAGTAGGCGAGCGGATGCGAGCGGGTGAGAGTAGGGACGTGCAACGGAAGGGGGATACACCTTGAGCATGTCTTGGAGCAAAGAGCACCATCATGAAGCGTTGGTACTAGGCCGCAGGACGTGAGGCAGCATGGAACCATCCGCAGATGGGCTGCGTTGTAAGGCGTCACGTGTTGGAATCCTGACCATGCTGGATAATTGTCATCGCATCCTGATTGCGTGCATGGGGCGCAGCACTAACTTGCGTGCACTTTTACTGCTAAAAGCATGTACATGATCGGTCCTTTGGTTTGCTAGGCTGCGTAACAGTCAACCCAGGACGATGCATGCTCCTGGCATGGTAAGATTGGTAACCATGACGGAATGGCCAAATGCCGAAACGTGGACTGTAGGACGAGCTCGGTTTCATGCGCCTTTACAAGTCGCACGAAGTCTCTGCAAAACCTCTCCCAATAAAGCGCATGTCGGAAACCCCGCTAGAAAAAGCTGGGAACGCGCCTCCTGATCCGCCTATGCTGCCTGCACCCCTCTTACAACCACATACACGTATGACACCCCAAGCTGTCTCGGCACACCCCCTATTTGCTACACCGTAAGCTTAAGCCCGTGCATCCCTCTGTCCGCTACATAGAACGAAAGCCTCCTGCTCCCTGTGGCCTCCACCACGACCCAAGGCGAGGCGTGGACACCAGCTGCCTGCTTACTCGTGCTGCAGGTTGCCGTTGCGGTCCAGCTTTCGCCCCCGGAAGTCCACGGGGTCGGGCACATTTGAGTTCCACATCATGCTGGGAATCCAGCCCTTCGGCGGCATGTGGCGAACCTCGTTAGCCGTCGAGTACTGGAACATCAGGAACAGGATGCCACCGACCGCGCTGCAAAGAAAGGAATATAACAAACAACAGGATTATAAAGGATATTTAATGGAGTAAGCCAGCAGAAATGCTGCCATGACCCTTACCCAAGAGTCAGCAACGTGTTCTTGCGCCAGCCCTTAGGGTCACAGTAGAAGCCGCCGTGCGGATACCAAATCTCTGCATAAAGCATATATATGTAGTGTGAGCTGCTAGCGGTAGGTTCTCGGCACTAACGGGAAAGACGGCATCAGAGCAAGGTCTTAAGCGCCCCACAACATGAACGCACCCCGGTTGTAGTGGAACTCATGAGGGCACAGGCCCGACTTGGGAGCTAGGAACTTTGCATACGAAGGCTCGGGCACCGCCGGAGCGTGGTGGTGGTGTCCGCCGCCCATTGTTCCTAATTAGTATAACTACACGTAGGAAATGGACAAATGTAACACACCTCCGCAAGAAAGCGCAGACGAGGATGTTCGTCCCAACAAGTACGGCGACAAGCTTCAAAACCTTCCTGGGCTTCCCGATCATGGTGGAGCGCTTTCCTATCCATGTGCGAGTGCACGGTCTTACTGGTCTGCTAGACGGTAGCATCAAAGCCATATGTTAGTGTCTCCCTTCATGAAGAATCGCTCCCATCGTCCCGTCTTGTGCCGGCGATGGGGCTAGGCAAAGCTCTGGAACACAACCCAATCGCTACTGCTGTTTAATAGCTCATCTCCGAAGCCACCGCAAGCGCAAAAGACCGAGACGCGCCGTGACATCAACCATCATCTTACTCTTGTCTCGGTGCAGCACCACTTGGCTGTGATGGAGTCAGTTCGGACAGCCTCGGGAGTGCCCCTTCTGCCCCGGGTGGTCACACCCCTGATCGATACCCAGGTGGGTTGCTCACAACACCACGATTACCGCAAGTGCCGGGAACACCATGTACGTGACACGAAGGGACGTGAGCTGGGGCAAAAGGGGTGGATGTCTGTGTCCCTCCATTGCGCGCGGATTCATTGCTAGCCGAAGGCCCCCCACAACCCACGGTAATGCCCTGGGCCCTGAGCCTCCTGTCAACATGCATTACCACGCCGCAATGCCTCCCCCGTTTCCTCCCCCACCCGCCACCTCAGGCCGTACGGGAGCTCTTGACCACAATTGGCAGCAGCGGCAGCAGCACCGTTGCCACCCCCGCGCAGCTGGCGGCTGCCGTACAGCTGGCCGAGCTGCTGGAGACGGAGGAGGGGCGCTTCAGGGACGTGGTGGGCGACCCATGGGGCGGTCCCGCGGGGCAGCGAGCAGCACACAGCATCGGCAAGCTGCTGGCATGTATCAAGGTACCGGCAGCAGGGAGGGAGGGGAGGGGAGGGGGGTTGCGGGTATGGGTACGAAAGTGTAGACCGTACCAGCCTTCCAACTTTCCCCTCTCTCTTCTACCCATCCTCTACCCAACCCGCCTCAAATCCTATCCACCCCTCCCCGCCTCCCCACCCCTCCCCAACTGCCCGCAGGACCGCGAGTCCGTGTACGACGGCGTGGTGGAGGGGTGGCTGCTGTCCCGGTCCGCCCCCCTGGAGCAGCAGGTTGCTGGGTGCCGGCTGGTGCTGGCGTGCCTGGCCTGCTGGGCCTTCCAGTACCCGCTCACGGAGGACAGGTGCATGGAGCTGATCAAGGTGGGTGAAAAGAAGGAAAACTGACGAACTGAAAGACGGGGCTTCTCCATGGGTTGCTAATTGTGGGTGGGGGGGCGGGGGCTGGGGTGGGGGGGCGGACTTGGGGTGTAGGATGGGTTGGATAGAGGGGAAGAATATTGAACTACGTGGGTAGGTGGGTGGTGGTGTGGGTGCATGAGGCATGGGATTGGGGCGAGGGGTCGGAGGGATGCGTGGGCGGGCTTGGGGCGCCCCTTCACCCCTTCTCTCGTCTTACCTTAGTTGCTGATAGCAACACTACCGCCGCCGCTGCTGCTGGTCACGTGTTGTTGCCGCCTGCTGTCGGGTGTCCCATGGGTCGGTCGCTCAGGAGTGGGCTGGCGAGGCGGGCGAGGACACCCCGGGTCCCGCCGACCCGGCCCCCACTGACGAGGAGGCGCTGCTGCGGGAGGCACGCTCCGTGTACGCGACAGGCGAGGGGGGCGGGAGCCGCGCGGCGTTGACATGGGGGAGTCACTGACGTGTGGGGGCAAGAACGTTTGGGAACTGGGGTAAGGAGGAGAAACAACTACGTCTTTTCTTTTCTTTTCATAACTAACCGTGTGACAAGGCGTCATCATGGATTGGGAACTGGGGGTAGCAGGCTGTCCTAGTAGCGCCTGCAGCTGGACCGAGGCATGGAGAGGGGCGTCGTTAAGACTCGTGAAGGCGCTGCCACAACAACGAGCTCTTACGCATGCGCTCTTACGTTGAAGCTGAACCGACCTGCCGCTTCGGAGCACCGGTACTGCTTCTTCTCCCACGCCTCTGCTCTCTCCTCACCTCTCCCCTCGGCCCGCCAGGATCTCTCCTCCCCCCCCCCCCCCCCCCCTCTCCCACTCCCCCTCCCACCCCCCTTCCGCCTTCTCCCCGCACAGGCCTCCTCTCCATCGCCATGACCAACGAGGACTACGCCGGCCAGGCCTCCTCCTCCGCCCTCGTACCCCAAGTTGCCAAGTACCTCCGGAAAACCCTCCTCGACTCGCCCCCTTCCGCTCCACACACCGCCGCTGCTGCCCCTGCCCCTGCTGCTGCTCCTCCTGCTCCGGCCGCTCCTGCTCCGGCGGCGGCGACGGCAGTAGCACCCGCACCCGCCGCCCCTGCGCCGCCTCGTCCGCCCCTGTGCCACCCCATTGCCGTGCTTCGCCGCCTTCGTCTGCAGTACTGCGCCGCGCTTCTGGGCTGCGTGGGGGAGTTTGTGGACGCGTTGGGACCGTTGCTGGTGGAACGCGGCGCCGAGGCTTTACTAGAACTCATGCGGCGGTACGGCAGTGGCGCTGGCGGCGGCGGGTTGTTGTACGGCAGTGGCGGCGGCGGCGGGGCTGACGGGCGTATGTTGTACGACGCGCTGGGTGCATGTGTTGCGCTGACGGCTCACCGGCGGTTCTCCGAGGTGTTTGTTGAGGCGGGGGGAGTGGAGGTGGTGCTGGGACTGCCGCGGTGAGGGGGGAGGGGGAGGGAGGGAGGGGGGAGCGAGGGGGGAGGGGGGAGGGGGGAGGGTATTCCGCATTCGAGAGGGGGGAGGGGAAGGGGGATGGACTGAGCCGCGAGCGATAGGAGAAAGGGACGCGAGGCGGAGGGATATTGGGGATCAGAGGGGGAGGAAACGGCGGTGGGATTGGAGAGGAATCAGGGGTTGCAGAAACTCATTGGGTTAGCCGGCATGGTTACCGGTTGGGGCATGGAAGGGCGGGGAAGGGCAGGAGGAAGAGGGTTACGGCGAGACCTAGGGGCTCGCACCGCCTCCACATAGATCCCCTTTCCTCCGTCCCACCCTCTAGCTCCACTTCCTCTCACCTCCTCTCACCTGCCCTCCCCTCCCTCACCTGCCCTCCCTCCCTCCCTCCCAGCAACCCCCACACCTACTCCGGCCTAGCCACCCTGCTGTACAGCCTGGCAGCTGCACCCCTGGCCTTCGAGCGACTCCTCACCCCCTCACCCTCCACCTCCACCACCACCACCACCTCCGCGGCAGTAGAGGGCAGTAGCGACCCTACAGCTACAGCAGGACCCACCACCACCACCACCACCACTACAACCACGGCCGGTGGTAGCGGTAATGGTAACGCCGCAGCGGTGGTGTCCGCCGCCCTGTCGCTGCTGAGCTGCGGCCAGGACGGCGCCCGGCGCACCGCCGTGTCCTTCCTGTCCGCCATCATGACGGTCCCCGCCACCTTGCGGGAGTTCCAGGGGCAGGAGGGGGTGCGGCGCATGCTGAACCTGCTGCGGGCGCTGCTGACGGGGGTGAGGGGGGCGGCGGCGGCAGCACCCGACCTGCGCACGGAGCGACAGGTGGGGGTGGAGGGGTGCTGGGAGGGGAATTGATGGGAGGGGCAGGGGAAGGATTAAGGGAGAGGCTGCGAATGCGGCCATGTCCATGCATGTGTTCGCATAAGACCATCCGTTTCTCACTGTTAAACACTCGCTTCCCCCCGCTTCCCCTCCCCCTGCCCCTCTGCCCCTCTCCCTCGCCCCCCAGGTCGGCTACTACGCCGCCCTCACTCTCCGCATGTTCATCGCCGCGCACCTCGTCCTCCACGTCTCCCACCTGCGTCGCTCCCTCACCCACCCGCCCTCCTCCTCCGCACCCCCACCCTCCGCCTCCTCCCCTCAAGACCCCACCTCTCCCTCCGCCACCGCCACCGCCCCAACCGCCCCAACCACAACCACCACAACCACCGCTCCTGCCGTACTGCCGTACTATCGTCCCGTGGACACCAGCCGTGAAGCCCTGGACGCCCTCACGTCCTCCCTGGAGTGCGACCGCCGCCTAGCGGAGGCCTTTGCACGCTGCCGCTGGCCCGCCCTGGAGCTGCTGCTGGACGCGGGGGCTCCCGGGGTGCTGCTGGAGCTGGTTTCAGAGCTGCCCCATGAGAGGTGGTTCCATGAAACCATGCAGGCGGCGCTGGAGGGGCTGCGCATGTTGACGCAGGCACCGCTGGCGAGGAAGGCGGTGCTGGGGGCGGTGGTGACGCTGGGAGGAGGAGGAGGGGGTGCGGGAGGAGGGGCTGGTGGGGGGCAGAGGAGTGGTGTGGGGGTGTTGTTGGGGGCGGCTACGTTGAGCACGTCGGCGTTCTTCGCATCGGATCCGGAGGTGAGGGACGTCGGGGTGGAGCCTTGGACGCGAGGGGGGGGGTCCTATGCTGGCGGCGTGACGGAATTGGAGCGGGGTTGGGCTTGGGGCCGATTGGGCATGTGTCAGGTCGCGTAGGCCTTCATAACGTGGTACCGGTAATACCGGTATCCGCGAGGCGTTCGTATTCGCCTGATGTGGTAGTGCTGCGCGTTGGGTGCCCCCATGGCTGCTGCTTCTGTGCCGCGACGCCCTTTCAACGAGGCTCATCACACCACTTTCCCTCTCCCTGCCCTTGCTCTACCCTCTCGCCCCCTCCCTGCACAACCACCGACCCTGCATGTGTGCTGCACCGCTCCTGCTGCTCCTGCTGCTGCTGCTGCTGCTGCTGCTGCTGCTGCCGCCAGATGGTTGCGGAGGCGCTCTCCACCATCACCAACTGCGTCACCCCTCCACCCGCACTGGCGCAACTGCTGCCCAGCGGGAGCGGCGGCGGCGGCGGTGGTGGTGGTACGACACGAGCTGGTGGCGGAGGCGGAGGCGGATGGATGTACGGCATGACTCCGGGCCGCCGCCCCGACCGAGCTCCTGCATGGGGCGGCTTCATTGAGGGCGGGGGACTGCAGGCGGAGGAGGGGGCTGCAGGGGTGAGAAGGGAGCTCAGGGAAGGGGTGGAAGGAGGGGACTGCTTACATCTTCCATGCCTGCTCCACAACCTCACCCTCCTCTGTTGCCATGTCGCCAACCGCCCCCATGCGACAACCTCCCAACCACCTACCCACCAAACCCCCTGGATGATCCCATCCCCCCTCCAGGCTCGACCTCCCTCCGCCCTCGCCCCTGCCGTACCTCCCCCCCTGGACCTCGGCCCGCCCGCCCCCACCCTGGGCCAAGCCCTGGAGGCGGGTTACGTCCTCGCACGACAGATTGTACGGCAGTCCAACGGCATCCGTACACTGATGCAACTGCTACAGCCCCGACACGGCGTGGGGCCGCATGCGGTGCCCCCGGCTGCGCTCGACCGCATTCGCGCGCTGGCGTGTCGTGCGCTCGTGGGACTTGCGGGCGATCCGGCTATTCGGCAGATCCTGACACGACTGCAGGTGGGGGCGTGTCCCTAAGACACTGAGAGGGAGCGGGAGGAAGATGGGGGGCCGGGGGAGGGGTGACGTGGGGGTTAATTCTGGAGGGGCGATGCACTGACTGGTGCGTCGTGCTTCCTGTCTGAAGACCCTAACCCACCGTAACATACTTTCCCGGACTTCACTTTCTCACCCGCTCCTAAGCGCCGACTCAACTAACACACCCCTTTCCTGCCCTCATGTCAGCTCGCTCGGCTGCTTTCCGAGCTGGTCCGTGAGCCCCTGGGCGGCCCGCATGCGTCCCACACCCTGGCCCGCCGACCCACGGGTCTGTTGCCCTACCATGAGCCCTCCGCTGGCAGTGGAGCAGTGCCGTACTCTTACGGCCCGTACGTACGGGGCGGTGGTACGGACTGGCACGCGGCCTTCACGTCTTCGGCCCTGGAGCTGATAGCGCTGACTACCACCGGTGGGTTAGGGTCGGTTGGGTCTTGGGTTGGATGGGGTGGGGAGGCATGGAGTTCAGGTGCGGAGGGTACAACAAGAGGGCGGCATCGCTTGGAGCCTGACCGGTGTTGCGGTGCGGGGAAACAAGGGCGAGGTAGTAGTGACGTGCTGTTGCACCTCTCCTCCCAGCCACTTGCCGCTTGTCATCTCTTACGTGTTCCCTAACTGCCGCCCTGCACCCCACTACCCAACGACCAATCGCCGAGACGGACCGCACTGTAACCCTGTGTACCGGAAAGCATGGCATACCCTGTTTACCTAACTAGTATCTAGCTTCTTGCTTCCTCCTTACCCTACCTAACCCAACCCTGCCGCTGCCACCCCCCCTCTCTCGCAGGCACTGGACCCATGACCCGCCATGCGGACAAGTTCACCGCCGCAGCCAACGACGCCACCGCTCCCGCGCTCCACAAGATCGAGCGCGCTGCCATCGCCGCGTCCTCCCACGTCAGCTACAACCCGCAGGAGTTGCTGCTGCTGGTGTACGAACACCTCAAGGCCTCAGGGCTGCACACCTCCGCCGCAGCGCTGGCGGCGGAGGCGAACCTCGCCCGGGCTAATGCCGCACTGCACAAGCTCATGCACCTGCAAACAGCGCCGCACGGACATGCGGGTGGCGGTGGCGGTGGAGGGGGTGGGGGTGCGGCGGCGGCGGCAGAGGCAGGGCAGTTGACGGCGGCGCAGACGGCTGGTGGAGGTGGAGGCGGTGTTGGTGGACCCATGGGTCACTGCGCCACACCTGCACCTGGAGCGACGCCGTTTGGACAGCAGCAGCTACAGCCGCAGCTACAGCAGCACCCGTTGACGTCAGCATTCCAACAGCAGCTGCAGCAACCGGGTTCGGCGGTAGCCGGAGGTACGGCTGCGGCAGCGGCGTCAGGGCTAGGCGGTATGGGTAGTGCTGTCCTCCTCAGCACGCCGTTTCACACCGCCACCGCCGGCGGTGGCGCCGCCGCCGCCGCCGCTGCGGGCGGCAGTACGACTGGCAGGAAGGGTCGCGCCATTTCCATCTCGGCGGCATTGAGGGACGCGGCGGCGGTTCGTAGCCGCTCGGATCTCTCACACGACCTAGCTCGCCTGCGCCAACAGCAGCAACAGCAACCACAGCAGCAACCGCAAGTGGAGGAGCTACCGAAGGAGGCGCAGCCGCAGGCGGAAGTTTCGACGGCAAAGCCGGCGGTGACGGCGGCGGACGCGGCAGCGGAACCGCCGAGTGCGGCACGGGTGCAGTCGGGTTTGAAGCGCAGGGCCAGCATGCCGCTGCCGCCCTCCCGACACCCCCTCACCAGGAGCGCCGCCGCCACCGCCGCCGCCACGCCGGCGGCAGCAGCGACAGTGGCAGCAGATGCCAACAATGGCGGCGTTGCTGCGACTGCGGCGGCGCCTCCCGACTTTGCCTCACCCACGCCTGCACCCGCTACGGCGCCTGCAGCCGGCGGCAGTGCCCGGCCGCCCTCCGCCGCGACTCCCCACACGGGAGGAGGATCCCGAGGAGGCGGCAGCGCGGCTCGCCGGCGCGGATCGGCGGCGCAAGGCCAGGCAGCGGGTGGCCGGACCCCGCTGCACCAGGCCGGACCAGTGGCGGCGGCGGCTGCGACTGGAAAGGTGGAGGACCAGGGGGCGGCGGCGGCTGTGTCGCCTCCAGCGCCAGGTACGGCGAATGGCGGCAGTGCGGCAGCAGGTACGACAGCAGCTGCTGCTGCGAGTGACGCGGAATACCTAGCGCAAGTGTTTGGCGGCCAGCAACAGCAGCAGACGCTGCAGCAGCGGACCCATGGGTCAGCAGCCGCTACACCTCAGGTGGGCGCTTGGTTTTGCTTGTTTTTCTACTTTTCAGTTAGGGGTATTGTGACCTGTGGCCTTGGCTTGCCAACCTGATCACGTATCGTGGTCCACACTAGACAAGAACCCTCTGCTCCTTTCGTGACCTGGTTACAGTTTGGTGTTAAGAGTTTAGTGGACCCGCAAGCAACCCATCTCCCCCCCACATACATCTCATGCATGCAGCTGCTGGTCCGCTCCAGAGCCCTCGCGAGCCCCTTCGCCAGCGCCACCCCCGCCGACCGGCTCCTTCGCGCCACCAACGCCGCCACCACCGCCGCCACAACCCACGCTGCCCTCAACGCATCCGCCTTCTCAACCATCCCCGCCGCCACCGCTCCCACCTCGGCCTCTGCTCCCAACCCGCTCCTCGCCAACCTGCCCTCCCGCAAACCAACCGCTGCCTCCACCACCACCACCGCCTCTTCCAGTACCGCCCCTGCCACCGTCCTCAAACGCCCCTCCTCCAACTCCACAGCCACCGCCGCCGTCCTCATGAGCCCCCTCGCCACATCCACCACCACCGCCGCCGCCGCACCCACCTCCTCCACAACACCCGCACCAGCCCCGCCCGCAGCACCCCCTCCCTCAGCAGTCCATGCGGGTGAGCTGCCACCCCATGTGGCTGCGGCCTCTCGAGACCTGCAGCGGCTCAACGGCCGCCCCCCCGCGCTGTCCAAGCTGCATGCGATCGTGATGTCATACCTGAGGCAGCAACACCGCCAGGCGGTCATGCAGGCTGCCGTACCAACCGCCGTGGTGCCGCCTATTCCGTTGTCCAGGCCTTACGTCATGCCACAGGTGGTTGCAAAGGGGCTAGAGGCGCCCTGGGGAGGGCTTAAGGGGAGGATATTGGTGATGGAGGGGATCTCGTAAGAGTGGGAAGCTCATTCTGCCTGTATCACGGCTCTTCTTTGCCGGTCTTAGCCCCCTGCTGGCCCTTGCCACTCCGCAATCGTACCCTGCTGCTCTGCCCTTCACCACATCTCATCCCTATCAGCCATCACCCGTCGCTGCAAACCCGCGCACACCCCGCCCCCCAGGCCACGCACGCGCTCGACGCCCCCGGCAACGTGACCCGCCGGGTCGCTCGGCGGGAGCTGGTGGGCGGACACGGGGGCCGCGGCGGCACCCGAGCCGACCTGCACTTTGTGTACAGGTACGGCTGCGGACCGCGGACTGCATGCGGTTTGGCCATGGGTATTGGGCATTGGGCATGCATGCATGCATGCACGCATGCATGACTGGGGTGCTTTGACAGCTCCACCTGAGCTCCCCATACGTGTGCATCCCTGAATAGCTACGTCTGTACTCCCCACCCGCCTGTACTCTCCTCCTCTAAGCCTCTTCTCTTCCGCCCGCCGCCGCAGTCGCTTTCGGCCGCTGAGGACCTTCAGAGACGATGGCAGCCTCAGCCTGTGCGCCGCATTCCTGCAGGTGGGCGCAACTCCCTCTCCTTGTGTGGCTCCGGTGCGGTGGTAGCGTTAGGGGTTACTTCACCCTTCGCCCTTGCTCGTGTGTTTCATGGGCTGTAGCCTGTAGGCTTATAGCTTTGCCTAGGGACGACGCTGATGTGCGCATAACATAACGTGAGAGCTTCTGCTTCCCCATGGCAACAACCAACCAGCCTCCCGTCAACCACCCCGCCTGCCGCATCACTCAGGGTTGGCGGCGGTTGGTGGTTGGCAACCAGGGCGGCGAGCTGCTGATCCACGACCCGCAGGAGGGCGAGGTGGTGCAGGTGCTGTCGGCGCATGATGCGGCGGTGACGCAGCTGAGGAGCCATGACGACCCCTGGCAGGTGGGTGTGCTGTGTGTGCTCTCGCGTTTGTGAGGTAGAGAGCAGGCTCGCCGGTGCATGCATGTGTTGTCACCTTGCTAGGAAACACGCCGGGGTAGGCCGAGCAGTATAGGCCAGTAGGCGTGCTACTCCCCCTCTCTATCTCTCCCTTCTCTGCCTCCCCGTACTGACCGGAGGGGCAACCTCCCGCCCCTGACCCTCCTCCTCCTCCGCACCCTCACCCTCACCCTCTTGCTTCACCCGCAGCCGCTGCTGCTGTCCTCCTCGCGCACCGACGTCAAGCTCTGGGCTCCCAGGGTGGATGTGCAGGGCGGACCCGCAGGCGGAGGAGGAGGCGGAGGCGGGCGGGGCGGGGCGGCGGGGGCGGCTGCTGGCGAGGGCGAGATGGAGGAGGTGCTGCTGGGGGCGCCGAGGGCCACTTGGAACGGAGTGACACGACCCCGGTTCAACCCCGCGGGATCGCAGGTGCGTGCGGATGAGGCGGCAGATGCAGTAGACTGCGTCTTGTGTGGCAGTTGCCGGTAGTGGGACGGGATGTAAAAGATTTGGAGATGAGCTTGCCTCCGCCTCTGCCCTGCCATCATGTGTTCCTCTATACCGGTATCTTGCACGGCTCCCCCAACCCACCCGCCCCACCCGCCCCACCCGCAGGTGGTCGCTGTCAGCTGTGCGGCGCCACGACAAGCCCTCGTATTCGACGTGCGTACGGCAACCCGTATCGCCGTACTCGACCCGCCGGCGCTACCCACCGCTGCTACTGCCACTATCGCCGCAACTGCTGGCGGCCCTTCCGCCATTGGAGCCCGTACGACACTCGCTCTGTCCGGATTCGGTGGCGGCATTGGAGGTGTGGGTGGTGGTGGGATGGGCGGCGGAGCACCTAATGACCCGCGGAGGCCGGGGGGCCGAGCGCATGCGTCGCTGTTCTCCGCCGCCGCCTGCTACAGCCCCACTGGGGAGATGTTGCTGTGGGGCAACTGCCTGTACGACCTGAGATCTGTAACCGCCGTACATCAGTTTGATCAGTTTACGGATATTGGCTCCGGAACCTTCCACCCGGCCGGCTTGGAGGTACGGGAAACGGGATGTCTTGGCATGTTTTGAAGCCCTGAGTAATGCGATGACTGCGCACCCTGAGTGATGCAATACTGCTTGGCGTGATGAGTCATGCAGACCGCGCAGGTCCTTGGATGTGTGCTCGGTTACATGCATCCTGACATGCTTACTGGCCATGCGCTCCATCCATGGGGTCCTCCTTACCTATTCACGCACCCCTTCCATGGCCCGCCCCTAACCCCCTCTCCAACCCCCCCCCCCCGCCCCCACCCCGCCCCGCAGGTCATTCTGAACAGTGAGGTGTGGGACCTGCGCTCGCTGCGGCTGCTGCGCTCCGTTCCCTCCCTGGACGGGGCCTCGCTGGCATTCAACGGCGCGGGGGATGTGCTGTACGCGGTGGGTGGCGGGGGCGGGTGGATGAGGGCATGGCGAGGAGGGTCCTTGAGGGTTGCTGGTGCTTGGAGTGTGATGCCTGGTGAACGCTGTGGGAAAGGGGTGGGGGATGCACGTTGAAGCCAAGCCAAGCCGGTTCATGCCGAACCTCATCCCCTACCCCCTCATCAACCCATCCCTCCCCTCAGGCCCGCCGCCAGGCAGACGAGCCCTTCTCGCAGCTCTTCCACCCCCGCCGCGCCCGCCACCCGCTGCACGCCGCCTTCCGTACACTCGACGCGGCGTCGTACGGCGACATCGCCACTGTGGGGGTGGAGCGCGTGGTGCTGGACCTGGCGGTGAGGGGGGGAGTGAGGGGATGGGAGGGGGTGGGGGGGGAAGTATTACGGTAGCTGCAATGGCGGTCCTAGTCCTAGCAGGGTAGAAGCTCACCCTTCTCCTCACCTTCCCTCCTCTCCCCTCACCGAAACCCATAAAACCTTTTGCCCCTGCTTATTTTTTCCCCTCGTTCCCGCGTTCGGCCCTTCACCCTCTCCCCCATCTTTCTGCTTCTTTCCCGCTCCCCGCCCCCAGGTTGAGCCCACCGACTCTCTGGTTGCTGTTGTGGCGCTGGATGCTGCTGACGAGGAGCTCAGCTCGGCTGCCCGGGTGTACGAGGTGGGGCGCATGCGGCCGGCGGAGGAGGACAGCGATGCGGAGGAGGAGGAGGACGAGGACGAGGAGGAGAGCGAGGGGGGCAGCGAGGTGAGTAAAGAGGAAACAAACGAGGGCGGGCTCACGGGGGACTTGCGGCATCGCGCGTGGGTGCGTGGGTGTGTTTAGGTGTAGGTTGGCACACGGGTACCTCCCCCTCCTACGTGCGGTAGACCTCTCCATGCGTTGTATGTGTCCATACACCCCTGTACACCTCCTCGTCTGCCTGCAACTGTCTGCAGGATGAGGAGGATATGGAGTTCGATGAGGGCGTGTTCGACACCCCGGCTCCCGCAGCAGCAGCAGCAGCAGCAGGCAGGCGGCGGCAGCAGGGCCGCCCCGACAACCGCGGGCAGGCTGCTGGTGCTGCAGCTGGCGGAGGTGGAGGTGCAGGACCTGCCGCCAGACGTCTGGTGGCGGAGATCTTTGGTGGAGAGGGAGGTAACGAGGAGGATGGAGAGGGTGAAGGGGAGCTGGCAGGGGCCGAGGGCGAGGATGATGATGACGATGCGGATGCAGATGATGCGGATGATGGGTCGGATGATGAGGAGATGGGGATGGCGATGTTGGAGGATGCATATGCGGCCCTGGAGGATGCATACGGGGGCGGGGAGGATGAGGAGGAGGATTTGATGATGGATGGGGAGGATGATTTTGATGATGAGGAAGAGGAGGATGAGGAGGAGGGTGATGATGATGAGGAGGGTGGGGGCGGTGCGTTGGCGGAATTGGATGCGCTGTTGCATGGGCAGGATGACGAGGAGGAGGAAGATGAGGAGGACGAGGAGGAGGAGGAGAGTAGCGAGGATGAGTAGGAAAGGAGGGGCGGTGGGGTCTTCTGGAAGGGAGCGGTGAGGAGGATGGGCTTCAGAGGGAGCTGTGCGTGAGGAGAGAGGGCGTTGCATGGGCTATGAAAGGGTGGTGGGAGGGTCAGTGCTTTGGATTCCTTTGGATTTTTTGCAGCATGTCCTTGTACTGGAGTGGACTCGCTAAGAGGGCTGTGTTGGGCCCGTTTTGTTTGAATGCGCCTGCTAGCCGCGGGACAGCTGGAGGCAGCCGGTTGTATGCGGGCACGGGACAAAGGGTGCTGAGTAGGTTGCGGAGGAGGCGCCCGGTGGGAGTCAGAGGGGATACGGTAAGAATGCCAGGGCCAAGCGTTCTTTGTCTTTCTTGCTGGTGGGAGGTGGAGAGGTCCCGACTGCTGGATGCGGGCCGAGGAGGTCAACATAATTGGCAAGAATTGTACGACACCTGACCAACACTTAACTTGTGTATCGCTCATTCACCAGTCAATGTTTACTGTCAGGAGGGTGTGTGTTGGCCCATCATTGCTTTGCCATGCGTTAACCTTTTGCAGGAGTGCTGCCAGCTGCTAGGTGTATTGTGGAATGCAACAACTGGGCGAGGGTTGTAAAGGTTGCGGTTAACCGGAGTGGTGCAAGGACGCTATTGCTTTAAACTCAGCAACTAGTTAGTAGAACGGACAAGAGTAGGGAGGCACAAAACCCTGTCCTGTTAATGGGGATTAGGAAGGACTCCGGCTGTTGTTTATGATACGTAAACATGGACTTGTGAATCATCCGTGCACCGATGCCATATATGCCCCGTGGGAAAGGATTCCCTGTTAGTTTGCCTCACTCCACACACAGCCATGCACAAATCAGTAACACCGTCAGTTACAACGAATGAATACGTTTGCCGCCAAATAACATGCAACTTAGCACTCTCGGATTTGGCTGTTAGGCAAACAAGACCCGTCATGACAAGGGAGCAAGCTTGGTCTCAGCAACGGGGGTCCATAAAATTCCCCTCCTCCGTTCGTCCCAGATCCACCTAGGTGCCTTCACCTCACAGTGCCACAGAAGGGCATGGCAAAGCCGTTTTAGCGCTAGTACGATAGTACGATTGGGTACGTCTTTAGTCTTCGAGCATTTGGACTGCACAATAGACTGCAGCAGATTTGCATCCCCCACACAACATCCCACACACTTCAAAAGTTCAGCAGCCTCAGGTAGTAAATGCTACTACGGCGCACCTGCTGCCACCTACTCTTTCCGCGGGCAGCCATCCACACAGCCAGCCATGCCGCAAACTCTACTTATGCGCCGCACTCTCCTGATCAGAGCAGCAACAGCAACTGACCTGAATATGAAAGCATACATAAGGACCCTCTATATCAAACAACCTCAAGCAAACCTCCCGGCACGAAACACACGGCAAAACTACCATGGAATAGAAGAGACCTCTCGCTTCTTCAAACAGTGCATTGAATGTTAAGAGTATGCTTGCCGTACTGCAAGCAACTAAACGTGCACTACGAATGTACAACACGATGTGTGTGTCTCCGCAATGCATCCTGGCCGGCATCAACCGGTACAAGGGCGCCAAGGCAATAGCAGCATATGGCTGCACCTGTAGCACCCACCTTTTGAAGAGCGCCTAGAGCGACGGGTCCAGGTGTACACATGAGGAAACCCTAGTGTACAAGAAGACCAGCCGCTCAATATGTAAGGTGTTATAGTACAGAAGCAGTTGTAAGTGAGCCATATATAGAATGGCAACGCACCGAAGCAATACGACGACGGCGATATTCGGTGGACCATGCCGTGTTAACTGCAGTTAACAACGAACTGCCATACACGCCCGAGGAACATCGCAAACGTCTGCGCCGGAAGCGAGCAAAGATACTACCGGTCAAAATGTGCACATTAGGCGTGTGCATTACGCGCGGTGGAACAGGAGTGATGGGTCCTCCAGGACCATCGCGGCTGCTTGGCGGGGCGAAACTCCATGCTTAAAGGCAAGCATGGAAACGCGCTGCTCGTAGAAGGACATATCTCCGTTAGGCACGACTAGCAGTCCAGGGCGCAGCTTGACGAGGCTTGCAGCTTTGTCTGTCGATGTCTCCAGGATTTCAGCAAGCTTCCGTATCTTGTACTCTGCAAAGCGAGCAAGGTGTATTACACTCTACCCATGTACTAATTAAATGGTCCAACAGCAACCAGGTTCCAGTGAATGCCAAGCGTCTAAAAGGGTGTAGTAGGTAAAGCAACAGTCCGAAGTCGAGACCCACCACGCGTCTCCTGCTCCTCTACAATGCGTGATTTGTACCCAGCGGCGACATGGCAGATAGTGCGTGGCACGCTCGGGACGCCTGCATACAGGTTAACAACTTTTCAGTGAACGCTCAAAGACAAACCCAAAACCTCCAAGGGAGAAACTGATGCCACCCAGGAGCCACAACGTAGCGTATATGTCTGCAGACCAACGAGCTGATAAGGCCAATGACAGAGACCGCGCGGCAAGGGCCCTTACACGTTTAAGCAGGCGGCGCAATCCTTACATACCTGCCACCCTCGCGACGCATGACTGGTGACCGTGAGCTCCTCGGAATGCTCCATAGGGCCGATGGGCAAGGCAAGCCATCCTTTGCGTATAAAGCGCTCGGAAAGGATTAAAAGATCGATAGCACAAGTATGGGTTGCTTCAGCTATCTCTACTAGCTAATATCAGTTTGGTAACTTTGATGTGACGTGCTGTGAATTGCAACTTTATAGGGACAGGATATCTTTTGTGCTTTCCGCGCATCGCATCGTACGAGCGTCATATCCTTCTTGTCGCTGTTTCTGGCACACATGCGGTATACTGCACGTAATAGCTTTTACCTACTAATAGAATGAAGGAACATGCTGGTGACCCTGCGTTACCCACTTGCACTGCTCATCCTCCGTTCAGTTACTACCCTTCCGCGCGCGCTCGGACCCAGCGCCGTGTACTCCATTGCGTCCGCGTAGAGCCCCCTCCCACCCACCCCTCCCCTTCCGCACTCTCCTACACCTACGCCTCCATTCGCCCCACTTAAACCCTAAAACCCAAATCCTGTTACAAACACTACCCATAACTTCTTCCTTAACTGACTCGCAAACCCCACCACCCCTTCACCCGCTCCCTCACCTTCCCCCCACTCACCACCCAACCCCCAGGCCCCCACCGCCACCGACATCACCCCGGTTCGCTCGCTGCTGGCTCAGCCCAACAAGCAGGAGCCGCAGCTGGTGGTGGGGAGGCTGGAGAACGGCACGCAGTGAGTGATTTGGGGGTCCAATGACCAGCCCAAACCATAGGAATCCACGAGTTAAGGCAAAGCGTTGGGATAGGAGGTGGCAGGGTGCCACAAGCAAAACAAGGGAGGGAGACCGTGAGCCGCTTCGACTCGCGTTTCTTTAAGCACCCTATCGGCGTCGACACAATTGAGGACAATCAGAAGATGAAGGCTCTCCTGGACTCCAAGCCCCGTCTGGGGTCGAATGTCGTCACGAAAGTCGCTGGCGTGGATGTATGTTTGCCGCTGCCATGGACGAATGCTACCTGGAGCACAACGTGGCCACCCACGTCAACAGCACCGAGATGACAGGACATGAAGGAGCACCGAGATGCTCCGGCAGGGCCTGGAGGCTCTGGTGGAGGACGGCGTGGTGGAGCTGTTCCAGGACAAGCTGTCCATGGTGTGCCACATCATGCGGGAGCAGGATGCCTTCCTGGCCCTCCTGACAGGGTGAATTGACCGGCAAGCTGCCACACTGGGCCGCTGATGATGCAACAGCTGTCCTTCTGTGCCAACCATGAATGCTACGGCTGCAGGTGCGGTTCCTGTTGGTCCCAAGCCTGCTTTTGGCTAGTCGGGCCTTCGTTCCATGGTTTCCCAGACGCCGTAGCGGGTTGGCACCCAAGGCGCCTGCGGTTGCGTAAGATGACGTGCCCGCGTGGCAAGCGTGGTTGCGTGGGTGCTGACCATGGGGACCAGGGGTGAGGCGGCGCTGGTGCTGGAAGGGTCTAGGTGGAGCCGCTGTTGTCGCTCGTAAGGGTGTTGGCTGGTGCAATGGTGTGGCGGGTTTGCTAGCCTCCGTATAGTGGTGAATGCATGCCCATGTGGCGGGAGTGAAGGAACAACATGGCAAGGGTAGACATTTCATCCCCATGAGACAGTCAAGGAATATCTATTGGCAGTACAATGGGCCGTACATGCCGGCTCCCAGAAGATCGCTGCGCTAGCTGTTGCTGTTGTTGCTGCTCTGTGCTGGGCTGTAGCTGGGGCTGCGGCTGGCTGAGTGCTGACTGGCTGGGGGCTCGCAACGTTGCGCGGAAAGCTGGGGTCCGAAGGCGTGATCCTAAAGGACTGCTGTTGCGGCTGGGTTTGGGTCTGGGTCTGGGCATGTGTTGGCACACCATCGCTTCTCCCTTCGTGTCTTCTTTTGTAGCCCGTTAAGCCACGTACCGGTATTGCATGTCCCTCCCGGCCATGGTAACCAGCACGACTCTATCCCGCGAAGGCCTGTGAGCTTATGCTCATCCGGCGTCCTTTGGCATCCTTGAGCATTTCCGGATACACCATCGGATAGAGGGAAGGGGAAGGAACAAGGGGAATCATATCAGCAGCAAAGGGAGGGGGTGCGTCGAACTTTTGGCCACCGGTAATATGAAGCATCCGTGTCACGCCCGTGGCTGTAGCAACGGACGTAACACGTGCGCATGGGACACTTGCTAGGGCGTGACATCCGCGCCCACCCAAAACCCCCAAAACCTTGTGCTGCTGCCGTCGCTGCTGACGCGACGCCGACTGGATAATACCGGTAGCTGTTAATAGGGGGCATGGCCGGGGACTGCGACAGGGGCTGCTTACCGCTCGCGCTCATAACTTGGTAGACTGGTAGGCTGACGCTGAGGCTAGGAACCGGAGGTATGCGCCTACACATCCACGAACATACCCTGCCACAACCCCAACATGACGGCTCCTGCTTGAGTAATGCTAGAACGCTCTCCCACAAGTACGCACGCCCTTAAATGCACGTCACGGCGACGGCTTCCGACAGGAATGGGGAGCCAGGGGCCTGATGAAGAAGTACTCACGCCCCTGGCTCACCATTCTTTTGTCGGAAGCCGTCGCCGTGACGCGAGCCGGCTGACAACTGCGGGAGCGCTGCTCTCTCCCACGTTTCTGCAACATCCTTCGTTCCGAGGCTATTAACACCATACGCTTGAATGCGCGTGCGCACCCGTCGGCTCGTCCCACCGATCATGGGTACTTGCACGGGCTTCACGGGCATCAAGGGTAACCAACAGGCAGTGTTCAAGGGTTGCACCTTGGACTAAGGCCACTCACGTATTGGTGGGCAACTACTTCGCTTAATAACACCTGCTTCTTGCTTATGCACTTTCCCACGGGAACAGTCTCTTTGTCCAAAGGACCCCCATAACACTCCCTCCGGTCAAAGCAAGCCCTAGAGCGCTGCTAAGGATGTTTGGTCCATCCTTGCGTTAGATCTTTCGCCATCCACCATGGCGACGGTGAGTGCTTGCGTTCGCATGTTTCATCCACACTACGAACGGGTGCATTACCGGTTAACAAGCTCACGGTGATCGCGTTAACGCCGCTGCTCGCTATGCCGCTGCCTTCTCTGCGTTATCTTCCAGGTTACTTAGTGACATCTTCTGCAAAGTTAGAAAATAATCATCCATAGGCAACCCGACCCGCGGCCATCTTTGGGAGTCGAGCTGGAGGGCCAATAGCCGAGGTGAGGCGCAGCATGGTTCGTCAGTGTTCGCTGCATCCGGCTCCCGGCGAAAGCCCGCTTACTTGCTCCGTAACTTAAATGTTTTTAATCCGAAACGCGCACTCATGTGTGCTGTCTGCGTCTGTGCAACACCTAACCGCTCGTAACCGTGGCCCGACGCGCTACAGCTCGGCAATCCCATAACCTGAATTGCTTGCCGTGTTTAAACTAATGTCTGTGCGCTATGTTTGTCGTCAAGCTTTGACGAAAAGCGGGAACGCCTTAGACCCGCCTGCTGTACGAACGATCTTTCTTCTTGACATAGCACGGTTATATGCAAAAAGTATCACTCAAACTAGCTATGCGTATGCAGAATCTGCTGTGTGTGCGACTCATGTGGAAGCAGGCTGACTGCAAGGAAATGTCTCCCTATGTCATGTTGTATTTTGGCGTCGGGCGCCCAGCAAACATGCACAGAGATGCATGTACGCGAGGACACTTTGTAATCTTTTGGAGCCCCCTATTACTGGGGCACTACTTGAAGCACCTTCGCGCCCAACCGCCCATGCATGCAGGTGTTGCAAGATGTCGTCAACGGAGGCGCGCAGCAAGGTCTGGGCCGCGTTTAAAGCGCTGAAGGTATGTGCGCATTGACTTAACTCTAATAATCTACACCTGGTACATGCACTATCCATGGGTACTGGCCATGAGTACCGGACCCATACGCTCCCATGAACCCGGTAACACCACGCCTCTTCATGCCTCTGCACATGATGCCGATCCGGCATCTTTTCCGTCGGCCCATACGCGCGAGTAGTCCGCAACCTTCATCAGGCCTCCCTAAGACGGCACACTCCCTTGTGTTCTAGCTGCCAAACACAGCCACGCATACCCAATGCTGGCCCGCCCATTAACCCAACTCACAGCGTTATGCCCTTCCCAGACCCCCCCCTTCAGACACCTGTTTCCATATTATCCCAGCCCTTTGTTGCAACCCCATCCTTTCCTCCACATCCTGATTCCCCACTTTGCAGACCTTTCTCGACGCCTGCAACCATGCTTCCACCTCTTCCTCCCGGCTCGCTTCCGCCTCGCAAGATGTCTGCGACGCCCTCCACGCCTTCAAGCCCCCAACGGGCTCAAGCCCCAGGCCCCTAACGGACGACGCCCTGCACTGTATCCTGGAGTTTCTGGTCAAGCCCGCTGCGGCACGTGTGCTGGACCCCGCGCTGCTCGCCCAGCCAGGGGTGCGGGGGCCGGCTGCCGTACCGCCTGATGCGATGCGAGCCGCCGCTGTCGTACAAGTGCAGCTCGCGTTCGCAGAGTTCCTGCAATGCGTGGATTACGTGGCGCGCAGTGCTCCCTGGTACCCGGACTTCCTTTCGATGACGCTGCGCGTCGTTAGTAATTTGATAGAGTACGTCTTCTGGTTTGGCGTTGCCGAGAAGGGCCACCTCAAGGCAGCTCAGAAGTTCCTGCACCACGGGGCCGACACCGCCAGCGCCAGCAGCAGCAGCAGCCAGCAATGGCCTCCTGTGCAGCACGAGCACGTCTCCAAGCGCCGCTCCCTCTCCGGCCAGCCGATGCTGCTGTCGCACCTGATTCGTCTTCTCGACACGGAGCAGCTGATGACGAGTTGGCTGCAGACGCCGCGCACTGCTAGCAGCGGTGGTAGCGGCGCTGGTGGCGGCGCTACCGGCAGCACCACTGAAGCTGAACAGGCGCGAGCTGCTCTGAGGCGCCTCCCTCCCAGCGCGGCAGGCCGTGATGCCGCCGCTTGGCTCGCACGCCAGTTGCTCAGCAGCGCAGACGCCAAAGTGAAGCCGGCCGTGAGCCGCTCTTTGACAGCTGTTGACTGGACGCCTGCTTGGCGGCTGTGGTTGGACCCACGGGTCGCTGTGGCAGCCACCGACGTAGACTATGATTTAAAGACCATGTGTACGCAACAGCTAAGGCTCCAGGTGGCTCGGTTTAGGAGCAGCGGGACGGTAAGCTGGTC